ATCTGTTTTCATTGAAATCTCACAAGGTTCTCTTTTCCATATTTATCACTCCTCATGCCCACAAGTCATCTCACGGCTCTGCCACTCTGGCATTTACAACCGGGATCAGAGTGGTACACCAGAACAAACATGAATTTTAATTCTTTCTCATTATGGTTTTCAACAAATATATCTTTCAGGAAGCAAGTATTCATAGATTTTCTTTGCATAGCATTCCCTAGTAATCAAGACTCCAGAGCTGTTTTCAAGGTTGATTGAAAATTTACTATTAAGAGGAAAAAAAATTCTAATTAAATAGAAAGATGCTGAAACAGTTTCGATGTCATTTGAGAAAACGAAGAAGAAAAAAAGTGTAAACAAATAACTCTAGAATTTTCTCAGGTTTTGAAGGAAGGATGTGATGTGCCTTCAGACTGTCAGATGAAAGGAGTTACAGTGGAAATGAAAACTGTTCTTGTTCTTTGTGCTATTGAAAATCCATCTTACTTCCGCCATGTATTTATTTCTGAGTGTCACTTGCTAATGATCAGGTTTTAAGGACTATTTCTCTAAGAGTGGTCTCCTTTTTTTCTCTCTGGATAACATAACATTTACAACTATTGTTTATATAAGATAAGGACATTATTTTCTCCTAAAAATCTTGCTGGGCCAGGCAGTACTGTGCAGATGCCATGATTAGCCTCTTAATTTTTTTAAACATGCCAAAGAAACTCTAAAGTCAATATTAACATGTTCAGAGCCAACCAAGATATAGGAGTGCAGTGGAGATAGCAACCTTAGGCCATAGCTGGGATGAAAAAAATGTGCATTATCTTTATACTCTTGTGACTGGAGTTGATGGGCATTTCTGCAGCCTCCACCAAGGCAAAATCCTGGGTCTGCAGAGTGTTGCAGCCTCACAGCTGACATGAGTCGCATTAAAAAACACCTAAGTCCTATTTTCTGCTCTATAGAAAATATTCCTGAGTGTAATTTATGTTATTCCTCAAGCATTTGTCTAATGTTATAACCATGTGGTGCTGAGACAGTAGCACAGACTGTGCAAATCTCTAGATGAGCCTGTGTCTTATGCCTTCACTAAAAATCCATTCTGCTTGCAGAGATTCAGAGCTTTCTACACCGCTACTGCTCCAGTGACTGAGCTACTGCCAAACACCCTCTTCTTAACTCCTTTAGGTACAACAGCACTTTTCTCAGAGAGATTGACATCTTGAACCCAGACATCTACAGCAAGATTTTCAGATATACCACTTCTTGAGTTTATGTGCTTCAAAGGAGAGCTTATACAATTAAAAAAAAAATAAAGCTCTTATGATGATAGCTGGTGTGTCTAGTAGCAGTAAGGGCTTCTTTGCACAACCTGTACCTTCACAAGCTGTACTCAGCTGGGTAAAACTACCAAATGGTTCTTGGAAGTAAAGGTGTGCACAGTGGGTCTCGCATGACTCTGGCAGACGCCCACAAGAGTTTGTTTTGTATCCAGCACTAGTACACAGCTCAGTGAATGACAGGACTGCAAAATGCAGTCTGACAGAAAGCTCAGTGCTCCTGACCCAGGAAAGTTAAGATAAGTGTGAGAGAACACAACATCTTTTGTTATTATTTGTATTGTGCTTGCGCATAGCAGAAAAGGCATAAGCTCCCTGGTGTGAGATGTTGTGCAGAGGAAAGTTTAAAAGATAATCCTTGTCCAGTGATCCAAGAGGGTAATGAGAATAGGAAGGTGCTAATGATCAGAAGGGAGAACAGAAACAGCCAGACTTTTTTTGTTCTGTTCTGTTCTAAGCAGAAGGTTTTGCAGACAAGCACATAACCAATGACAAGTTTTTTGAAGCAGATTGCAGCAAGGATGGTAGGAAGATATGAGAGGCAAGATTTGCCAGGAGGGATAACACTTCTTATTAGACAAATTGCTTGTTAAAAATGGACACATTCCTGGGCACGCAAACCTGTCGGCATGACTAATAGACATGCCCCAACCATTACCCAGCTCCTTTTGTGTACATCACAGCAAGGCCAAGCTCATGATGAGAAAGGTCATCTTCTTTTGCAAAGACTTGCTGCAGGCTTTAAGGTGCCTGTAATTAAAAACAATCCAGCAGCTGATGTCTGCAAAGAAAATACAGAGAGCATGTCTCCAATAAGCAGTATGTCGGCTGCTTTTGATTGCAATCTAATGGAGAGTATTCTGAAGGGAAGAATATGGGGAAAAGTGAAGAAACAACAAAGTTTGACAATTGCTGTCAAACTATCTCACTGTCTCCCTCTACAAAGGTCTGCTCCTGGGTGGTCCTTCATGTCCTGAGCTGTTGTGTAGATGTGTCTGAGGGATGGGAGCTGGAGAGAAGATGTCATCTTTGTAGTTCAGCCAAAAATATAGCTAATGTATAAATAATTGTATGAAGGTGTCCTGTTCTGTAGATCTCAGTTCTAGTGCTGGAGCTCAGCTTATCAAGCATAGTCCTAGGCAGGTCTCATAAGAAACACCTGGTCTGAATTAGCCCAGACATTACGCTCTGTGTCAAAACACATAGGTCATGAATTAGACACCGGGGAATGCTCCTTCCAGACCATTTTTCATACACTTCAAAAGGATGTTAGCCATGATCCATTAAGTCTTCTAGTATCATCTGTAGGTTGAGAATTTTGGCTAACATGATAAATATCCGGTAAAACTAATGGTGTTCATGTGGTTTTCATCAGTAGTGAAGGTAACAGTGACAGTGGCTTTTGTCAGGAGCAGACTTTTAATTTTCCGGGCATAGTCCAGAATTGCAGTTTGTACTGTCCTATAATGATATGTAAACTCACAGCAGTCAGTGGAAAAACTACCAGTGAACTTTCTTGGTTTGGACCAGGCCCATATTCTTTTAGACTGGGGTTTACAAAAACCATGAGGAAAGTGATGATGCATCTGTCAAGGAGTCTATCCCTTAAATAACTCGTTAAGGAATAGTTTTGCTATATAACCTTGTCTCAGGACAAAAGATGTGTGGAAATCTCATTGCATGGAAAGCAATTTGCAAACCCTAAATGGGGGGTGCTTGGAAGTGCAAAAACTGTCTTGAGTGCATTTCATAAAGTTAAATCTCACTGCAAAAACTGTCTTGAGTGCATTTCATGAATTACAGCGGTACTGAGAGATTGAACTGAGCCACAGACAAGACCAGGAGCATGTCCTTTTCTGTTATTCTTTATCAGCTTCCCTGTGATCTCTTTTGGTGCAGACAAGGATTGCAGATGTATTTGAAAAAACAGAATAAGTGTTAGAAATGACTAAGAGCTGAATGTTTTTCCATGACAAGGAAAAAAGCATCTATTGCTGCTTGTTTACTTCTGATTTATTCCCCTATAAAAAGGAGGTGAAGTTCATCTTTGTGTTCTCTATATTGTCTACACAGAAAATTAACTTCAGTAAAGTGCCTGTACTGCTGTCACTCTTTTACAAAAGCAGCTGGGAAAGCATGGGAAAAAATAATCCTTGCTATTTTTGAGGAGCAGGAGGATAGAGAAAGCTAGTTTACTATCTGACAATGGGTTATCATCAAGAGTGTGGTGTTTAAAGGAAAAAAAAAATGTTGTTTTCTCATTACTGGAACAACAACAACAAAAAGAAATCTTGTAACCAGTGAAAGTGGAGTCACTGACCTAACTGTTTAACCAAGCCTTTCTGGGAGTAGAAAGAAAAACAAACGTTAAGATGATATTAATTAAGAGCCCTTGTTTAGTCTGTCCATTAGCTGCCTTTGGTTCTCATTCTGTATTCTGAAGGGCTGATTCTGTGTGGAAGTCAATAGATGTCTTCAGCCTTATTCTGTGCTCCCCTGTCTCATATCATATGAAATGAAGGGGTATGGACTGAGGAGGAAGTGTTGAAGCTGATTAACAAGAACAACTTTCAGGAGGAACTATTACAGCCCAGCCAGGTGCTTGTGACCATAAGAGGGGTATTGTGTTATAGCTGATGAAGTATCTCAGACTGGTAGTTGTTGCCAAAGGAAAGGGCTAGTTGGTTGCTAAAAAGTCTTTTTCACATCTGAATCAATGTAAAGCTTTCTCTTCCTCTTGAAGGACTTAAGCAATCAAAGGATTTATTTTCCTTTCCTCTCTCTCCTCTTTATTATTATTATTATTATTATTATTATTATTATTATTATTATTGTAATTAATTCTGGTAATATTTGCCTTCCTGCCCACCTGCCTGCTCGCTTACCCTTTAAGTTTGCTGTAGCATACTATAGTTGAACTATTTCCTTTATTTGAACTGATATTTCTTCCTTGTTGGAGCCTCATCGGAGGTAATCTCCTGTGTCTTATTACTTTTTTGGTAAAGTATTGCTAGATCAGATGTGGGCGCTGACTCCAGAACACTGAGCCTGCAGTGTTCTGCAGAAAGCTCCATTTATCTTCCTGCTGTGGGCAAAATATCTTTACTGTGAACCCATTACTAGTTATAAGCTTTGTAGCTGAGGTTTCCAAGCAAATTAAATTAAAGCATTTGGAAAAGGGCTGCAGTGGGTTTTGTGGTGCTGATATGCCTTTTGATAGTGCCTCAGATTTCTCAAATGATCTAACTTTTATTAGTCTGCAAGCAGTGGAGTAATGGGAGAAGGGAATGCAGACTTCTAACAATATCAATATCATAAAAGTACACATATTTTGTTTTTATGTATTTTTGTTGTATGCCCCACCCTAGTCTTCTGAGACATTTAAACATTTCTTACTCCATTATATTTGCTCTAAATTTAAAATAATAGTAATTTCTTTCAAGATTGGTGTCTTCTGAGCTTTTGTTCACATGCATGCTAATCTCCTGGAAGATAAGGTACTACGCTGCTGTTGCTGATGTGCAAATTCAACAAGTTTGAATCAAATGGCTTTGTATGTTGAGTAGTACCTCAGCTAAGTCCTTTCATGGCATGGACACATTCAATATTGTGGATGTTTTGTTGGGTGATACCACTGCCGTTCAGCTCTTACATGTTGCCTTGCTATTTTAGGGAACAACTGTACCAGGAAAGGAAAGGAAATTCAATTTGGTTTGAACTGGCTCTCCAATTTCGGCTCCAGACTACAAAGACCAAACAGAAATAAGACTCCATCAGCTTCACAAAGAACTCAACGCCGCAATGGGGCTCTCCACCCAGGTGCTGGCCTGTGTAATCTTAGCTTTGTTACACCAGCATGCCAGTGGTGGACTCATCAAGAGAATTATCCGTCATAAGCGGGAGACTGGGCTAAATGTGACCTTGCCAGAAGATAATCAACCCGTGGTTTTCAACCACGTCTACAACATTAAATTACCTGTTGGCTCCCTTTGCTCTGTGGACCTCAGTTCAGCTAGCGGTGATGCAGATTTGAAGGCGGAAATTGAGCCAGTCAAGCACTATGAGGAGCACACGGTGAATGAGGAGAACCAGATTGTCTTCACGCACCGGATCAACATTCCCCGCCGGGCTTGTGGCTGCGCCGCTGCTCCAGACATTAAGGATCTGCTGAGCAGACTGGAGGAGCTGGAGGGGCTGGTATCCTCCCTACGAGAGCAGTGTGCCAGCGGTGCTGGATGCTGTCCCAGTGCCCAAACAGCAGAAGGTAAGGCAGCTGGGAGAGCTGCTCTCTGAGAAACTCTCATATTGGCTGCAGCCCTTGCTTAGAATATATGCTAGAATCTGTTTCTGAATCTGAATCTGTTTCTTGCCACAACCGTGGGAAAGTCAACCTGTTAAATTTGAAACATAATCAGAATGGGGAATGTGTTTGGCCAGCTTGCAAGATGTGTTCATTCACAGTTTTGAAGTTTGATGTGTCTGTGGGTCAGAGCTCTGCTGGAGCACCAGTCGGCCACACTTTTCCTGCAGCTCTGAGCAAGTATGGTGCTCAGGAAGGTGACAGTCAGCATCCGTGCTAAGATTGAACTCATACAGTCCAAGTGCAGTACCTCTTGGCTCTGCATTTGTCCTCTTGAATAGGCTGCCAGTGTAACTATTTTGGTTTCCAAGTTTTCTCTCGTAGAGACCTATAAAAATACAGCAAGACATAGACTATACATGATTACTAGTGAGAACAAATGATTTGAGAGAGAAAAATATAGTATCCTTCCTACTGTTTTTTAAACTGAGGTAAGAGACTGGTCATGCAAGAGAGAAAAAAGAATCTTCTCAGCAGTAATCTGTTCCCCTGAGCACAGAACCGATCTCAGTGCCAATGATCCAACATACTGCCTGGCTTTTTTATGTTTTGGAATGAATTGGTGAATAATGCTTCATGGTGCATGCTCTCATGAAGCTGTCAGCAAAGCTGCTTTGTCAGTGGAAAAGGGTTTTGAGAAAGGCAGACAAATCCAACATGCTAATTTGCCAAGTAGTTGGCAGGGGCCCTTCTCTGTCAGTAGGGTGAATTAAAGTGTTCCTGGCAAATTAAATCTCATAAGAAAAAGGAGGAGGTATTTTAGTTCAAAAGGTTTGGCAAATCTCTAAAGAGATGTGTCCTGCAGGGACCTGGGAAAATCAGACCCCTTTTAGGTAACTACAGTAAGGGATCCAGAGGCTGAATATCTCCCAATCGCTTTAGAGATGTTATCCTGTTTGTTATAGTTTCTCACTGTATAGTTTCTCTCAAACTATTGTTGGACTTGTTTGGTTCTGGCAGTGGGAGCAGGGAGATGAAGAGCAAGAAGGTATTTTCTGAGCACGGGTGGTACAGCGCATAGCAACGGATTTGTAAATCTTTGTAAAACTTCCTGGATACACGTCCAAGCCCCCTGGACTGAAACAGACATTGTATCCAGTTGTCATGGGTACATTTCTGCCACCATGATCATTTCTATTTTTCAGAAGGAAGATGCAACATCAGACACCATGACCTGTGGTGTCCTTGATGTTCAACACAAAGGCATTAATCCATTTAACTCTGGTTCATTGGTACAGGTCGTCTGGACACAACACCCTATTGCGGTGGACATGGGAACTACAGCACAGAGATCTGCGGATGCATCTGTGAGCCTGGCTGGAAAGGCCCCAACTGCTCCGAACCCAACTGCCCACACAACTGCTTCAACAGGGGCCGCTGCGTCCATGGCAAGTGCGTCTGTGACGAAGGCTTCACTGGTGAGGACTGTGCCCAGGCCACGTGCCCGTCGGATTGTAACGACCAAGGCAAGTGCGTCGATGGGGTTTGTGTGTGCTTTGAGGGGTACACGGGCGCAGACTGCAGCGAGGAGCTCTGCCCCGAGGGGTGCAGCGTGCATGGTAAGTGTGTGAGCGGGCGGTGCGTGTGCAACGAGGGCTTCATTGGCGAGGACTGCAGTGAGCCTCTCTGCCCCAACAACTGCAACAACCGCGGGCGCTGTGTGGACAACGAGTGTGTCTGCGACGAGGGCTACACTGGTGAAGACTGCGGTGAGCTCGTCTGTCCCAACGATTGCTTTGACCGTGGGCGCTGCATCAATGGGACCTGCTACTGTGAGGAGGGCTACACCGGGGAGGATTGCGGAGAGCTGACCTGCCCCAACGATTGCAACAACAACGGGCGCTGCGAGAATGGGCTGTGTGTGTGTCATGAAGGCTTCGTGGGGGACGACTGCAGTGAAAAGAGGTGCCCAAAAGACTGCAACAACCGTGGGCGCTGTGTCAACGGGCGCTGTGTGTGCGATGAGGGCTACCTGGGAGAAGATTGCGGAGAGCTCCGGTGCCCCAGTGACTGCCACAACCGTGGGCTCTGCGTCAACGGGCAGTGTGTGTGCAACGAGGGATTCATCGGGGAAGACTGCGGAGAGCTCCGGTGCCCCAGTGACTGCCACAACCGTGGGCGTTGCATCAGCGGGCAATGTGTGTGTGACGAGGGATTCACCAGGGAAGACTGTGGTGAGCTGCGGTGCCCCAACGATTGTAACAACCATGGGCGCTGTGTCAACGGGCAGTGTGTGTGTGACGAGGGATACACAGGAGAAGACTGTGGGGAGCTGCGATGCCCTGAAGATTGCCACAACAGAGGCCAGTGTGTAGAAGGGCAGTGTGTGTGCGACAACGGCTTCACTGGGGACGACTGTGGGGAGCTGGCCTGCCCCAACAACTGCAACAACCGTGGGCGCTGCGTCAACGGGCAATGTGTATGTGAGGAAGGGTTCACAGGAGAAGACTGTGGTCAACGGCGCTGCCCCAATGACTGCCATGGCCGGGGCCTCTGCGTTGATGGACGGTGCGTGTGTGAGGAAGGCTTTGTTGGGGATGACTGCCGTGAACGCTCCTGCCCCAACAACTGCAACAACGTGGGACGCTGTGTCGAGGGACAGTGTATCTGTGAGGATGGTTACATAGGGAACGACTGTTCTGATGGTAGGTTATGTCTGTTTAAACCCACTTCCCTTGGGTAGTTTCTGTGTTCATCCCACAGCATAGGAGGTTCTATGAACATTTCTATGTAGCTGGGCCTTGTTTCTACTTTATCATAGTCCAAATAACTGAATCAGTGTAGTTACAGCACCAAAAGAAAGGTTTTGGCCTTGGCCTTAGCCTCCCTTCCTTGTCAGGACTATATAGCGTAGACCTTGCTGGTGTACTTTGGTGGCTAGCAAAGTGATAATGGTAGTGTAATCAGGTTGTTATCCCAAACTTGCTCCCACCAGAATGTAACAGGAGCAGTAGCTAGTGCTGGCTGGGGATTTGTCGCTGCTACCTTTCATTTTCTCCTGATACCTCCTTATGCTAAGAAGATTCATCCCCCTCAAAAAAACTTCAACTATGGAGAAGGAGGAGATGAATACAGTCTTCTTACTAGGTTCTTAGCAGTATTAGTCAAAAGAATACAGAGATAATTTATATTGAAAAATAAGGTTCCACAGGAATGAAGTAATGTGAAAAATGAGCTATGGGAAATAAACAGACTGGGTAGCAAACATTTCTGACAGCCAAATTCTAGTTTCCATTCGGATGCTGGACTGGTACAAAATGGATTTGCATTTGAGGTACCATCGCTATTCTAGCAACAGAAAATGAAACATATGTCACTGACATTACATACATTAACAGGCTGCAAGGGCTCAGTGGGCCTTTAAGATAGATCTCTCTGAGCCAGAGAGTCAGGATGTGTAAGGGAGACGAGGCAATCTCTTAAAATACCCTTGTCTTATCTGACTTATGGGTACAAGGCAGCTGTACAATAGGATAGCCAGATGTTTCAAGCATTATAGTGTAAGCTTTCAGGGTTACTGGGGCCTTGGCTATCTCTCAGCTGCTCAGATGGATTTTTCTAAGTAAAGCAAAATTTGATTATGTATTTTTAAAATGTTTTCTTACTCATACTATTGGCTTGGACAAAGTTTGGAGTAAAATTATGGAATCAGCTGGAGTGGAAATCTAGCTATAAAGTCACATGCTTAGTTTCCCAGGACTGCTAACTCTATAGAATTTGATAGAAAATTTTGGCAGATAGATAATGACAGACATTACACAATAAAGGAGGTAGTTTTCTCTAGGAGATCCCTGAGGAGCAATTGGGAACTGAAGTCTTTGTAGAGTAATCAAGGAGAGTGCATTGAGGGTGGGAACGTTATAAAAGATAATGAATACCCTTGAAAAGAAATTCCCATATTTTATCTCCTCCTCCTGGAAGACTCCCAAGCCACATTTTGTGTTCTGAGTGTGCGAACATGGAGTAATTCACTGGAAGTATTTAGAAAAATAATCACGTTTTATTTCACTTTGGAAAATCCATGCAATTCTGTATATGCAAAGCCCAGGACTTTCAGCTATGAAATCATGTGTTGCTGGCAGTTGACTTAAACAACCGAATCCCTAAGGAGCCTGCTAGAGTAGTCATCTGCATCAGTCCTGTGTGTCAGCCACCAGAGGAGGAGCTAGAACACAATGAGCTGTAGGTTGTGTGTGAGTGTGAGAGCAGAAATTGGCTGCTGGCTTTTGGAAATGTCTGTAGTCTTCATTGCTTTCTTCAGTTGCTTTCTTCAATAGGCTAATTTGTGTGACATGGCTTCTCCATTCCCTATTCGTTAGCTGATTCTTATAAAGTTCTCCTGGCAAAATGTGAAATTGGGCAAGTCATTCCTTTCTGAGCCTTGAAAAGCTCTTAAAGTTTGTTTTGTTTTCCCCTTCCCAGTGTCACCTCCAACTGAGCTGACTGTGACAAATGTAACAGATAAGACCGTAAATCTGGAGTGGAAGCATGAGAATCTAGTCAATGAGTATCTTGTCACCTACGTCCCTACCAGCAGTGGTGGCCTAGATCTGCAGTTCACTGTGCCAGGAAACCAGACATCTGCCACTATTCATGAACTGGAGCCGGGTGTGGAATACTTCATCCGTGTCTTTGCAGTCCTTAAAAACAAGAAGAGTATTCCAGTCAGTGCCAGGGTAGCAACATGTAAGTTTAATGTTCCCTGTATTCACCCATTTGTCTTTGTAGTGTGTGTTTGTTTGTATCCTTTTCTTGGGGTTTTCTTTCTATTGTACTTTTTATTTTCCGATCATCTTCTCTTCAGAACCAAGATAGTCACCTTCATTTTCTTTTTCTATACTATTCTAATACCAAAGACCACTTCAAACTACAGTTGTCTAGCTCTTCAGTGCAGTGACTTCCAATGAATATTATAGAGTCCTTGTAAAATAAGACTTTCAATTTTTTTTCATAATAAGGTATGTTTTTAAACTTTAGTGATGTTTCCAAAAATAATATAAAAATATAGCAGCATGTGATGAAAGCAAGATAGAAACTTTAAGATTCAAAATATTTTAACTAAACACTTGTATTTGTGTTTTGCTTCACTGTGTCTTATCACATCTTACTTTTCCTGGGCTATCTGCTTGCTCTTCTTCTTTTTAAATTGTGCACACCATAGTGATATCTAAATATCTCATCCTGAAAAAGATATAAATTGATGGCTGTCATTGCAGTCAATTTTGGATACCCAGGGGAGGATTCATTTAATCTAACTCAACATGTCCATACAAGGCTTCTTTACAGACAGAGGGGAAAAAATAGACATTTCTAGGGCACAATTAATTTTACTCCAAGGTGGCATCCAAAATAGGTCAGAAGAATGTCACTTCAAAGGCAGAGTAATTGGCTGTGAAGAGAATCTGAACATCCCAGATACAGGTCACCACATTGTGGATATTTATAACTGTGGAAAGATTTCCCAATGCCAGTGCCCTCATTTGTCAGAAATCATTGCTCATGCAGTTATGTCCTTGTTTTCTCCCTCACAGACCTGCCTGCTCCAGAAGGTCTGAAATTCAAATCAGTTAGAGAAACATCCGTCCAGGTGGAGTGGGATCCTCTGAACATTTCATTTGATGGATGGGAGCTGATCTTCCGTAATATGGTAAGGAAGCCGTGTTTCTTGCAAAAAGGCCATATACAAATGAAGGATCCTGTGTTTCTTGCATTTATGTTAACCAAATGTTCTATGTTACAGAAAAAAGAGGATAATGGAGATATAACCAGCAGCTTGAAAAGGCCAGAAACATCATATATGCAGCCAGGTTTGGCCCCAGGGCAACAGTACAATGTATCCCTTCATATAGTGAAAAATAATACCAGAGGACCAGGACTGTCAAGGGTGATAACGACAAGTAAGCACAGCCTGATATTTGATGTGGCACAGCCAATGAAATCACTGCTATTTGGTGTAGTCTATGAAATTTTTAAACAGGAAAAAAAGCCAAGATATATACTGTATCTCCTGAGGCAAAAAAAAAGAAGCACTGAAACTGCTAATAAAAAGGTGTTAGGAGAAATGAATTAATTTCCAAATTATTTGACTGAAAAGGAAAGGAAATTTGTTTTTTAATCTAGAAGATAGATAGCAGTATGCACTTGGTTCTTGTTTTAAAGGTATATCAATAGGAATGAGAATTCCAGTGATCCTGGCAGTAATTGCATGAAAAAAAAATTAGGAGAAAGAGGTTTGGTTGCACAGGTGGAGAATCTCTTAGGGTTTCCACTCATCTTTGCTTTGGCAACTCTGGTGTTAATTCTGATGAATTAGCTTCTGATGAATTGGCTCCATTTGGCACTTTTTCATATGTAGCTGTAGGAAGTTAAGGAAGAAAGTAAATGAAGGTAAGCTTCAGCTGGTAGGAACCACTCACTTTTGCTCTAAAAAAAACCCTGCATTTTTCTCTCTTTGTAACAGAGCTTGATGCCCCTAGCCAGATTGAGGCAAAAGATGTCACGGATACCACAGCTCTGATCACGTGGTCCAAACCCTTGGCTGAAATCGAAGAGATAGAACTCACCTATGGCCCCAAGGACAGTCCAGGGGACAGGACAACCATTGACCTCTTTGAGGATGAAAACCAATATTCCCTTGGAAACCTGAAGCCACACACAGAGTATGAAGTGATGCTCATCTCTCGGCGAGGGGACATGGAAAGTGATCCCATGAAAGCAGTCTTTGTCACAGGTAAGAGGCTTGAATACTAGCCAGACTTCTGGGAGAGTAATGCTGTTGCCACTAGTGTTCCTTGGCTGTTTGCAGCAGGTGACCTAAGCTACAGCATTGACATAAAACCACCTCTATTAAAGGGAAGTTCCTCTGTTGGGTGCAACAAAAGAGGTGTTTGGAGGAACACCTCTTGTTTGGTGTCTTTTTTTTCTAAATTTAGGGGTTTTTTTCCACCTGATGGTCCTGGGAGAGTTTTATAAAGGAGGTGGGCCCTTTAGCATGTTGCCAAAGCTTGGATGCATTAATGGAGCTGAGTAAATGGAACATGGAGAATTGCCTCTCTTTTCACCCCAAAATGTAGTTGTTCCTTCAGAGCAGAATTTAAGACTGCTATAGGAATGAATAGTGAAATCCCATGGGATTTCTATGTAATATTCTCCTTTTATTTGAAATTTAGAGATCTCTTCAGCCAAGACTGCAAGGTGTTTACTGAACACAGATCCCAGAGTTGATCAAGTCTTTTTTCTTTGAGAGTTTTTTTTTCTTCTTCTTTGCATTGGAGAAATGAGATATTTATAAAGGAAAAAAAAAACAGAATTTCATCCAAATACATTTTTCCATGAGCATTTGATATTTTGTAAGAAAAAAAGTACCGAAGTTAAAAACGCTATTTTTTTCAGGAACTATTTTCACTTAATTTTTCCTCACTTTTATGCCAAAAGAAATTTGCTTGATCTAGTTAAAGACTTGAACACAGAGGTATTATATATTGACAAAACTTAATTTTAGATTTTTGGATCATTCTCACCTTCTAGAAACTATCATCATGAGGGGATGATTCTTGTTTCCTTTTGCAGACTTGGATGCTCCAAAGAACCTGAAGTGGGTGTCACAGACAGACAACAGCATTACTTTGGAGTGGAAGAACAGTCATGCAAACATCGATAACTACAGAATTAAGTTTGCTCCCATCTCTGGTGGAGACCATGCTGAGATCACAGTGCCAAAGGGCAACCAGGCAACAACCCGAGCTACCCTCACAGGTAGGAGGATTGAGAGGTTATTAATATCATAACTCCTGATTACTTCTGTCCTATCCCTAGTGCACAGAGCTATAGTGAAAAAAAAATGTCCCTTTGGTCATCATATCCAAGAGTTTACAAACAGAGGTTACACATTTTGAATATAAACAGTTAAAAATAGAGGTAATATTTATTTGCACCCCTGCAGTTGGATGACTAGACAGCAGAAGGTGTCTAACCATTTCGCTTTCATGTGTGACTGAGTCCCAGTGGTCGCTTCCCTGAGTTTTTAGGTACTATATCTCTTTGTGGGGATGGTTTTATATCTCTGAGTTCAAGACACTTCTGCATGGGCTAATAATTGTACTTACTGATAAAATTGCAGTAAATTTGTACATGGAAGTTGCCTTACCTGCCTGCTAGGTGAGAAATTTGGAATTTCTCCATTTAACATGGATGTTGGTACCCTTTTCCTGAGTTAAAGTACCTATTCCACAAGCTCTTGCAAGGGGAATCCATCTCTGATGCAGTCTTGGTCAGCCATAATCTTTATTGTTGCGTTCTATGTCCATGGAAAAAGATGCATTCACTTCAGATCAGCTGGAGGGCAAATGAATCCTTGATTCTCCACTTACATGGGAAATAATATATATAATTTCACATACTTTCAGGCTTCCTTGTTTAAATAAATGCCATTCAGCTTCTTCCATAGACAGAGGCTCATACCTCTTCTCCTTATCCCTTAGGCTTGAGGCCTGGAACCGAATATGGCATTGGAGTGACAGCAGTGAGACAGGACAGGGAAAGTGCTCCTGCTACCATTAATGCTGGGACTGGTGAGTAGTTTTGTGCTCTGGAAGAAGCAGCAAGTCAGCCTGAACCACTCCGGTGTTTCTTTCCTCTTTAAGTAATGCTGTAAGAAGTATTTTAGGAGGTTTTTCATTTCATCTTGATGCAAATAGAACATTTTCCCTGAAGGGAGGAGCAGGAAGATGACTAAGGCATGAACTTTAATCTGACAAAGATCTCAGCTTCAGTGTTGCTCAGCTTCAGCTTCAGGGCTGCTTCACTGCCCATCAAATCCAGGAGTTCTCTACCAACATCCCCCTTTTCCAGGTCAATGCTCTGAAGAATTAAATTCTATGTCTCCTCCATGCAATACTTGTTAAAGTGAATGTAATGGGGAAAATTTGGATCCAGTGTGGTTTTTCTGATGAAGGGAACTGCTACTTCTGCTTAGGTCATGCAATAGGGCTTCAGAGGCACAGAAAGACAGATGAGTCTCTGAGCTGTCCCTAGACACATGGTATAAATACTGCTCAGTCTGCAGGTTGCAGAGCAGGTCAGAGACTCTGCTTAACATCTCAACTTCACCTTTTTAATCTGTAGATCTTGACAAACCCAAGGATTTGGAAGTCAGTGACCCCACTGAAACAACTTTATCCCTTCGCTGGAGAAGACCAGTGGCTAAATTTGATCGTTACCGCCTCATTTATCTTAGCCCTTCGGGAAGGAGGAATGAAGTGGAGGTCCCTGTGGACAGTACCTCTTTTATCCTGCGAGGGTTGGAGGCAGGGACAGAATACAACATCAGTCTGGTGGCGGAGAAAGGCAGACACAAAAGCAAACCCACGTCTGTCAAGGGTTCGACTGGTGAGTAATGGCTTTTGGTAGGTGCCGTGCACTAGACCTTTGGGAAATGACTGGCTCAAACACAACTTCACCTGATTCTGTAAGTCTGGGGAACAGCTCCAAGACATCAGCTGCCAGGCACCGTGATAGGCTTATTGAGGGGAAACTGTGTATTTCTCTGACTACTGTATTTAACTCCATGTTGTTAGGGATTTCTTGCTGACATTTGAGAAGACTTGTAAATGACACAGCTGTTTGTCCTGCAGGAAATGAAGCTCTCATCCTTTGTTTCAAAAGGGACTGTTTTTTGTGCATTATAACTTATTTTATTTTCTACAGCCAAAAACAAAGAGGAAGAACAAACGGAACATATTCAAAATGGTTTATTCCTGCCTTATGACTTCTCTTTGCAGTATGCTTCCATCCATCAGCTTCAGCAGAGTACAGAGGGCTCTGTTTTTTTCTTTTTCTTTTTTCATTTTTTCATTCAAAAGCAGACAAAAGCTAGCATCACAAATCTGGTCACAGTCATTGTTTCCATTGGATTCCATGACTGTTACGTTTCTGTATTAGCCATCTCTATTTGCACAAACTGTTGTTTACTGAAATGTAATTAATCAGTTACTTGTTGAATAAGGTTTTATTCCTCATGATTTTTTTGCACATAGTTAACATCTTCATATAGAGCATAAGTGAGTCCTGAATCTTCAGGTGCCTTTAGGCTAAATACTGTGAGGCAAAGCTACAGCTGCTGTCACTGAGCACAGCCAGAGAAATCAGAATCAATGGGGTTAGAAATTATGATTTATTGCATTGTATAATATATACTTTCTATAGCCTTTTCCCTCCAAGACCACCTATGAGGTAAACACATGCCAGAAGTTGTGGATTTTACAAATTAATATTTATATACAGCTGATCAAAGCCAGTTTCATACGCTGTAATAGGGTTCATGGCATCAGTGCCTGAGAATGTGTTTTATAGAGTCGGGTAATTTAGTTCAGATGAGAGTTATACAGTATGGTGTAAACCATATGGTGGTGGGAGTGAGCAGGCTTTCATTATTCCAAGGTTATCCTTTCCCCCAGTTTTAAGACTTAAGTAGTCTCCCAAGAAGTACGTGTAAAGGATGAAACAGCATAAGCAGCATGCTGTGGAATTTCACTGTATGGTCTTTCTATGGCCAGCTTCCAAAGTCCCACAAGGTGCCTTCTCTTTTTAAAAATACATTCATCTGGCCAGTGTATTTGTTTTAAGGCTTTGCTCAGAGCAACCAGTAAACAAAAAATTTGCTCTGGAGGTTCCTTAGAGTCAACAGCAGGAGTTGACATAACCTTTCTCAGTGACCTTCCTCCTCTGCAGGAATAGGCATATCCAAACACAGGAGCATCAGGAGGCAGGAGCAGCCCATAAACCCGTGGAGTATAAGACAAGAAGTTGCTTCAGTTTACCTTTTCCTCAGTCCATCTCATTCATGTTATCAGTACTTGGGAGGTCCTCAAGTGCTCAGGCTAAGCCAAACAAACTTGTTGTTTTACCCTCTTGCAGAACTTTAGGGGATCTCAGGTCCAATTCACTGCTGGGGAGAGTCTTAGCATAGCTAGGTCTGCCCTAGCTCTTGGTGAGTGCAGGGAGGAGATAGGTTTGCCTCTTTAGTCCTGCCTTGCCAAGTGTTCCAGGAGGGCTGAGAGTACTTCGTCTCCCAGCTTCTTTTGCTTCTCCACACTCCCAGTATTTGGTCTTGTGTTCTTCTTAGCGTCCTGATTGTTCAGGCAGGCTTCTCTGCCTGCAGATATCCAGGAGAGTCAGCACTTTTGCTTCTCACATGTTATTGTTTTTATTTGTCTGTATAGTTAATTTTCTCTCACTGAGAATAGTTTCTTCCAGGCCCAGAACTGAAGATGTTCTGTTGGTGCCTTCTCATCTCCTCACATCACCTCCTGTTATCTTCTTCTCTGCATCAACTTTCCACTCACAAATAGTCAAAAATTTCAGAGCTCATCAATCTCTAGCAAAGAACATGTGCTGATATCTTCCATTCTGCAGGATGGCAGCCTTCTACTGCTTCAGGAGGAAGTGTAGCTCAGATGACAAAGCTTTTTTTGTTCTGGTGTCCATGAATTCAAGGGATGGTAACAACTGTAAAGTGCTCAGTTGCTGAATATTGTTTTGTGTTGTTGAAAAGGAAAGATTGAATATTTCACACTGCTGTTTGCTTGTTTATTTCTTTGTAGCTCCACATAGCCTAACCCTAATGCAGGCAATGACTCCTGACCCAGAGGAGCCTTCTGGCTCTGGGAATTTTGCTGCTCCGAAGGCCTCAGGGCTGCGGGAGGATGCACTGAGGGACCTTGTGGTCTCCAGAGTAACAGACCGCGGCTTTAGTGTCTCATGGTATGCGAACGGAGGAGCCTACAGTAGTTTTGTGGTGGAGTACCAGGAGGTGTCACTGGCAGCTGTGCCGCCTACAGAAATCTTCCTGCCCAGAGAATCCTTAGGTGCTGTGATTGAAGGCCTCCAAGCTAATACTTCCTATAAAATCAAGGTGTATGGATTGGCTGGAGAACAGCGCTCCTCTCCTCTGGAAACTGTGGCTACAACAGGTACCTCTTTTCTGTTATTAACTCAGGTATCATGAACCAGGTACCATTACCTGTTAGAGGTCCCACCCAGGGTCATGTTGCATTTTTGATTTAGGTCAACTTCAGAATGCAAAGAAAACAAATTATTTTGTTGGCTAGTAGGACCTTTCTGGCAACATGTCTGGAGAGTGTTACATGAGATTTACAATCTGTAGGGCGAACACGTAACCCAGCTCTGAGGAGGGCGAGCAGTCAAACTACATCTTTGTTCCTCCTTGCTCTGGTCCTGGAGCACTGCCTGCAAAGCACAATGTGGCTCCTCAAGGAGGAGGGATGGTAATACATCAGGCATGAGAAGCCTGTGGAGATAAATGAGTGGACCTTAGGGTAACCAAGTGCCAGCCCAGCATTCTTCTGCTGTAGGACCCAGATTGTGCAGCAACTGCTGATGAATCATGGATATGATGCTGCCTTGCCTCTGTAAATGAGTTGTGCATAAAGAACTGAGCAGAAGCATGGCTTGGAGAAGCAAGCTTTCCACTCCATTGAATGTTGTTAAGATTTATGCTGTTTACCAAAAACTCTTGTCTGTGTTGTGTGTCTGTCTCTCTTCCTCTCCTGGCTTCTGCTGGTCTTAGATAATGCCACTCTTTCTTATACAAGTTCAAAGGAACATTAGGAAGAGTGATTAGGTGAGCCAGCTCAATGGGAAAATACAGAGCTTACCACAGCAAAAATGATTTTACCAGCTTCTTCAGCTAACTCTTCTGCTAAGTGTAGCTGGAATCTCAGGTATTACTTAGAGGACTTTTAGCGATAGGTTCTGTAGTATTTCTAGTTTGGGATATAGGCCAGTATTTTTCCTCTATGGAGCTCAGAGTTGCAAAGGCACTATAAGCCCAGTTCAATGAGCTGGTCAAGAGAGGGCGAAACTATTTAGGTGAAGGAATCTGAAAAGAGTGCAAGTATCATGTTAGACTCTATAACCTTATTTCCTGGAGCTGCAGTCATACCCTACAGTTTATTTCAGCTGATGAGACACTCCACAGGGAAACTGGCTGGTAGCCTCTCTTGGAAAATAATGCAAAATCCAAGAGACGGAAGTAAGAAATAATACAGAATGCTCTTTGCTCCATCCCAAGTACCAGGGAGATGTCCTGGCATGACATTAACATTCTTCTCAGTAAAAAATGCCAGTCAAGCATTAAAAAGGAATTTCTCTAAAGGCCAACAACAGAGACATAATTAGGCCATATTCAGACTGAAAATTTTGCTAAAATAATGATACAAAGAATTATTGCCATTGAAAAAGAGTGTGTGTTTGATGTCAATCCAGTTCCCATCTACATAGCTTTCAGCTCTTTGGCATCTGCTATTTATTTATCTCACTACTGTGAATCATCCTGTCTTGCTCTCATTCACCCACCCAGAGTTCCTAGAGCTCTGACTTTCTCTTCTTCCCATCTGTCCCCTTAGCTGCTTGCTCAAGTGTTTGGTCTTATCTAACAGTTTATCGATTTCTCTCCAAATTTTCACTTATCAATTCTCTAGCCTATATTCTGCTTGATAAACATTAAACAATGATGCATGCTGCCTGTGGTGTCAGAGCATTTTCCATATACCCATATCATTTTCCTTTTTTCTGTCTGCTGTGTGTTTGTACACAAACCCACATATTCCTCTATTACAAATTCACTTAAAATAGAGCATGCGTATTTACCTGTGTGTGTGTGTGTGTGTGTGTCATGTGGATAGCTAGAGCACTCTTTTACATCCACAAATTCATTTGTTGAGTTAGTATTAAATTCCAAAGAAGTATTCACAGTTAGATCTAAAAGAGGAAAAAAAAAAAACAATCAGAGATGATGTATCTACATGGAAGTTCACATACTTAATGGCACAGTTTGTACAAGGCAATCCCCCATTAAATCATCCAAGTTGGCACAGTATGTTTAACCCACTAGTAATGGTAAAACACTGAATTAAAAATGCCAGTTAGAGGTTTGGTCCTTCATTTCTGAGTGATGACATCGATCTGTTGCTCTGTTTCCCATTCAGATTAGAGAAATCAAAGTGCTCATACAGTAGCTCCCTAATACCCGGGGTAAATGTCACTAGGGATGTTCAAGTAAAATGAGAAAGGGATGTTTCAGGTAAAATAGGAAATGTTAGTCAAAACTGGCTTCTCCGGATTTTCTCAGGGATCAAGCAGAAGCTTAAGGCTTTTCTTTTTCCCTTGCTCTTTTTCCCTTGCTCTTTTTGATTTTTCTTTGTGGATTTCCAACACAGGGAGTGCATGGCAGTTCCCTGGCAGCAATATCTGGAGCATGGAGTTGTATCTGTGTGACATACCTCAACCCTTTCCTCTCCACTGCTCTGAACACTGTGTTCATGCCTGTCTCTTGCAGAATTACCCCATGGTGAAGCCCAGCTACTAGCAGGCATGTTAAGTAGGCAGCATCAAGGCTAACTAGCTACCAGCTAATTGTTTGATGCTGTAGTTTTTGCCTGTTCTCGGAATAGGAAAGAGCTGTTTGGCTTTGTTTGTGCATTTGAGGCTGATGGAGTCGCGAAGGCTAATGATTAGTTGCTGCATGACTTTCTGCTGTGTTCGTGGGGCCAATGCATTAACTCAGGGAGCCCGAAGTAGTTAGGTAATATTTGTAACAGTGTACTGGCTAAAAAAACAGGGAATTAACCTAGCAACTATATGCTCATTCGCTAGTGTGATGACAATATTGCTGTCTTCAGATGGTGTCATGTGTGGGGTCTGGTTTGAATCACATGCTGAGGTGTAATTCAGGAGGCCCCTTACATATTTCAAGGGTATGGTCGATATATAAATATCAACTATATAAATATATAAATATTTATATATATAAATATATAGCAGATATATAAATATTCTTTCCTTCTTGGAGGTGAACTGAAAAGAATGCTTTTGCACATATATTTATCCTGAGAGTGTATTTTGAAGATAATGTTTCTGCATTTAAACATTTTAAATTGATCTTTGTCCTCTGGAAATATTTTCCTGTTATGTGTGTCAGTTTGGAGACAGATGCTGAATCCTGGGAACATATTTGTGCTGTTCTGACTGATGAAAGTAGATGGCTTGCTATCTCTTAATTGAATGTCAGTGGGGCATGAAAATAAGGCAATCATTGGGGTGTGAAACAGTGTGGTTATTCCACTAATGAGGGGATAACTCTGCATGGCTAATTGAAGCCTCGGAAAAATTGCCTTGCAGCAGTGATAAAATAGACATTCTCTGTCATCTCCACAGCTCTCAGATTTTCAGCAACCTGAATGTGCTACAGGGCATGTTCATAGTCTTGTTCAGCATGTTAAAGGCTGATCTTTTTCCCTTCCATCCTTTTGTACGTCATTAAAGAAAGACCCCTCAAATTATTGTTGGCTTTTAGTTAGGGATCTCTTTCTCTCTCTCTCTCTCTTTTTTTTTTTCCCCTTTTCTCTTTTTTTTTTTTTTTCTTTTTTTAATGCTGCATGTATCCAGATGGACAACTGCTGCAAGCTTCTTTTCTTGGACAGGAAAAGATTTAGCATGTTTCTTCTGTGGCTGACTTCTCAGTTTGAATTTGGCTATATTTGCAATATTTGGCATGCATTCCACTTCTGATTGCTATCAGTAGCAATAACTGACCTACTGTGGTGAAGTTAAAAAGCATGTTTAAGAGACTTAGGGTTCCAATCCTAGCCGATGTAAATAAGTAAGTTCCTTGGAGCTAGCAGAAGTGTACTGATTTACATCAACTGAGGATGTGCCCATATCTCTGCTGAAAGCCAGTGTCAGTGGCCTGCAAGAATGGTTGTTGCTCTGGATCTGCTGGTTAGTTGGTTCTGTGAGAACCACATGCTTGGTGTTGGTGATGCTGCCTTTGCTTATGACTTGGATTCAGTCTCCAAAATAAGAATTACCTGTATGTTTTATTTATTCTTAGAGATCTTTAATGCAAAGCACAGGAACTGTTTTATAGCAGATGATAGACATCGCTTGGTATCTTTTGGAATTTATGATTAGGAAATTTTAACTTGTGATTTACCTCTGTCTAGCACACCTAGTCACAACACCTGGAGAATCAAACAATGAAACATCATTTAATCCTACTGGTCCTGCACCTACTGAGCTAAGTTATTTAACAAACCCCAGCCCTGATTCTCGTGCTCTGCTTTCGGTGCCCACTGACCTTCCCATCTCAGAAGCCACTGATGCTCTTCATGACCTTAATGTCACACACAAGACTTTCACTAGTTTCACGCTGTCTTGGGCAGCACAAGATGAGGTATTTGATCAGTTCTTTATCACTCTGAAAGAACTGTCCAGTTTAAACAGAACATGGGAAATCTTTTTGCCGGAAAACCATCGAGAAACAGAAATTACCAATCTCACAGCTGGCACACAGTACCAGATTAACCTCCATGGAAGCATTCAAGGTCAGCTCTCTTGGTCCCTGGAAGCCCTAGCTGCTACAGGTATTTCCTCTGGATTCATTAGCCATATATTGTTTTCCTGCTTTGAAATGCAGAGCTTCGTTTTCATACTACTGTGCTACTGCGGAAATGCTAGGATTTGGGAGTGGTGCCTTTCTCATGATATATTTTTTTTAGTGCATGGAATGCACGGAATAAATCATTGACTGCTGTGGAATGAGGGCCTTGAGTTGTACAGCATGGACAGTGCCCCATGCATCTTTTAAGGAATTGTAGCATCAATTCTCTCTTTTCAAACTGCATGCAAAGAGAGGCAGTGATGCATTTGCTATTTCCAAGGCACATGAAAATAGCAAGATGTACAGATCTCGATTGTAGTTCAAGTACGGTAGAGATTGCAGTGAGGTTTAGCTGGCAGCATTGGCATGGAAGTGGTGATGTCCAAGAAAAAAAAAAAGACTGTAACACATTGAGAGTATGCTCTTCTTAAAACTTCCACCAAATATATGATTTTCACAAGAAAACAGGCTTATAGCCACAGAACTCAGTTCAATAATGACCAAAGTACTAATGTTTAAGTTCATGACTGGAGAACCTAGCCTGAGATGAGTGACCATAGCAGTCCATCACTCAAAACTAAATTGTGTGTGTGAGATAAAGTGAGATAAAGTATTTATGTAGAAACATACAGATTATTTCACACTTAGTACATGGTTAAAGCAGTCTTCTCTCTCAATGATTTGTTCTCTCTTTTTTTTAGTTAAGAAACATCATTGTGTTGTTTGCTATATATTGTCGTTGTTTTGGCATTTATGCTGGATACTTCATGGATGAGACTTTTTGAGCTCTACAGATGCCAAGTTGGTGCATGTTTTTGTATGAGAAGCTCTTGGTCTCTGCAGAGCATGATGAGGCTGTGTGTACTTTCATTTCAGACATGCATGACATAAATGTAAGGAAAAGGGGCTCTGCATCTTGAAGGAGAATGAAATTGAGCACTCTTAAGAGAAAACTAACTTTCTTTTAAAATGTGATGATTCCTGCATTGTACGCATTAAAAGCATATAACCGTGCTTTTACTTGAAAAAAAAAATGCTTTTGGAAGATTGGTTTAGTTTTGGTTTAGTTGAATTTTCATTTAAAGGAAATGTCTGTGTTTCTGTTGCCACTGAAAGAGCATTGATTTCTGATACAGACTGTTCCTTTTCTGTCCTGCCTTTTCCTTTGCAGGTAAATGGTGTTATTTTGACAGGAGTTATTTGTAAATGTCTCTTTCCTGCTCCTGATGAAACAACACAGCTCTGGATTCATGCATTTTCTTCATTAAACATCACAATGTTATTCTGTAAACAATTTTTTCCTTTCTAACAGGGTGACAAGAGCTGATCAAGACTTCCATGTACCTGAGTGGTAGCAAACTACAGTGTGTAGATGCAGTGCCTGCATATGTGCAGATCACACCAAAGAAAATTGACTGTGATCCATGAGTGCCAGCCCCCACCTATTTATATTGTGCCACACAACAGTCACACAATCTTCCTCCAGGAAGATTTGGGAACGGAATCATTTAGCATAATGGAGACAAATCTATTGAACTGAGATCATGCAGACAGAGAGGAAAATTTTCTTATTTTATTGTTTTGGAGTAGATATTGCTAAAAAGTAATATCTTTCATGTGGACACAGTTAAAAGCATAAACATCTAGGCAAGATGGTACTATAAGCTCACAGTACCTTCCTACTCTTAAAAAAGATACTTTTATAGTATTCACAGTCACTTCATAATGACAAACACTGAGTTGTTAATAGCTGCAGTAAAGTGCTTATAGTAATACTTACTTGTCTCATAGGGAGTTGTAATTAGTGTTGGCAAAACACTTGCAGCTGTAAGACAGTCTATAAACTGTCTTCTATGAGCTATGCTTTAGCATTAATATGATTATTGTTATGCTTCTTTTCTTACTGTTTTGTATTACCAAGTCTCTGAAGAAACTTTATGAGTTTTCTGGGGCAGCCGAGAATGGAAATGTGCAGGGGTGTACATCTCCATGCCACTGATTGCAAATGAAATTCATTAATGTGAAAAGTCGTTAGGTAATACCTCATCTCCAGTGGTCTGTAATCTGAATAACTGATTGACTCTCTGTCCTTATTCAGAGGAGGAACCTGAGCTTGGGAAGTTAACAGTGTCAGAAGTTAATTGGGATGGTCTCCAAATCACCTGGACAGCAACTGGCAGGACCTATGAAAACTTTATCATTCAAGTGCAGGAGTCTGGCAAACCAGAAGAACCCAGGACTATCACAGTCCCAGGTGGACTGCGTTTTATGAATGTTACAGGCCTCAAGGCCAACACACCTTATAACATCACACTTCAAGGTGTAATTCAAGGCTACAGGACCAAACCCCTTTCTGTTGAAACCACGACAGGTATCTTTACTAGTCATTCACCCAGCCTTACTCCTCCCTTACTTTGCAGATGGGGATATGAGCCAGACGTATTTCAGCTGCTGGTGAAAGCTTGCTCGCTTGGGCTGTTTTGGATGGGGTGCCCTGAACTCATTAAAGCTTGGCTGAACATCTTTGGCATGGAAATGTCTCATGATCAGACTTTCCAATAAGAGTCTCAGTGCCCTCATGGAGCCATTTGCTTTTAGGAATGCTCTTTTTTTTCCTCTCGGAATTGTTTGTTTTCTTCCCTTTTATTCACTTCTCTGCTGGCTGACACTACATGGTCAGGAAATCCCAGACTGTCTTGTTAAAATTATGAATACCTCTTCTTTACAGCCCACATAATCAAAGCCAGGAATGTTCTGGGTTTTATCCTTCAGAAGTTATATCTGAATCAATTCAGCACCTTCTGAATAAAAGAATAAGTACAGTCTCAGGAGTGTGACATATGTAGCTGACTAAAGGTCAACAACAACCACCTTGCATATGCTCTTCCATGGGAAACCAGTGGATATCTACCACTCTGAGCTATACAAAGTTGTTAAACAGTCTGATTGCCCTGAAAAGATATAATGCAAGAAGATCCAAATCCTCAGAATTGCATTTGTTTAAAACTGACCTGAAAAAAGAAAGTTAAGCCTTAACTCACCAGAAGGTTGCATGACACTAACCAAGAGTCATGAAAATATTTTTCTGACTGACCTTGTGAAAAACTGCAGTTTAGATAAGTGAGACCTTTCGTGACTCCTTCTGTGAGATGTAGAAAATACACTTATGTCTTTTCCATATGATTCACTGCCCCTTCCAGGTACTATGATCACTGGTTATGAACAGGATATGAATTGATTGGCAATACAGGGGTTCATCCTTGAGATGATTTCTTGTAGATCTGCCAGCTCCAGGCTTCCTTTTAGCCCTTTGCAACCTACTGCAATTGTGGAGGGGCTGGAGCATGCTTTCCCTGAGTACATGTTTCCCAGCATGGAAGGGGATAAAAGTAGACATGAGAACTAAACAGAGTTTAACAAGTGGACACAATTCAGCTGGTTTGTTGCAATAACACTTTAAGCAGCTTGGCTTAGGCAGAAATGTGTGTAACACAAGGCGCTTGCCTTTGTCTATATCCTTCTGCAGGCTGGCAGTCCTGCACTTTGAGAGTCCTGAATGAGAGCTGGTAGCAGATTGTCCATTGAAAATAGACAAATGCAACTAGACAAAGTAGACTGTGGGGGCACAAAGAGGAAAACCAACTTCATGGGTGTCCTGCCTAAATTCACAATGTGTTCTCTTTTTATTAACTTAACAAAAACAGAAGAAGATGCCCTGCTGAGGTTTTCCTTTCCATTTCTGGATCACACACAGCACCCGCCTTTTAAAAATTTTTTCTTATGAGAACTTTCAATTGTCAGAATTTTCTGAGTCTTCCTGTAGAGTGTCAGGGATGTCTACAGAGCTAAGGCATCTGTCGCTGTTGTGCGTTTTGGCTCCAGCTCCTAAAGCAGATGCCAGTTTCCATAGTCTTGAGATGAAAGGGAAAGCAGAAGAGCTAAAACAAATCACAACCTTTCCCTCTGGATAGAATAATGGCTTCTAGTTTAGCTTCCACTCAAAGCAAAAGTTGACTTTCCAAGCCATTGGATTTGGAAATGTCCTTTGCGTCTGCTGTCACGCTCAGACCTCAAAGATGCATGGCCATTCTGAAAAGCCATAACTTTAGAACTCTTTTTTCTTTTCCTTCTTTTGTTTCCCCCTTTATACATAATTCTGAAGCGTCTTCTTTTGATTTCTTTCCCTTAGTGCCTCTGTGGCTGTAGTGAACTTTTACTCAGACTGTTTTCTCCAAGGGCAGCTTATAGAGAGCTGTCGTCATGAGTAAAGCTCAGCTTTTCTGAGCAGAAGGAAGTACGAGGCCATCGCATTCTGACCAATGTTATTTTCCTCTTCAGGAGAGCACCCAGAAGTTGGTGAGCTAACCGTTTCCGACATTACTCCTGAAAGCTTCAACCTTTCTTGGACAACCACCAGTGGGGACTTCGACGTCTTTACTATTGAAATTATTGATTCTAACAGGTTGCTGGAGCCCATGGAATTCAACATCTCAGGCAACTCAAGAACTGCTCATATCTCAGGGCTTTCTCCCAGCACTGATTTCATTGTCTACCTCTATGGGATCACTCATGATTTCCGCACTCAGGCGATAAGTACTGCAGCTACCACAGGTATATAAACCTACCTCAATGCTAACTCTCCTTTCTTCTAACTCTTCCTTACAGGTTGTACCCCTTTCTCTGCCCTCTGCTACCCCATCGATCTACCCATTGCCAAATCCTCTACCTCATTCCTTGACAACTCCCAAGGAAGAGCTGCTGGAGACATTTGGACCTGTGAATGTTAATCTACCATCCCATCCAGCAGTCAGTCAATCACAATATGATGCAACTTCATTCACATAGCAATGCATTTTCTCTTTACTCAAAACATCAGGATAGGAGTAACCTGTCACACAAATGAGAAACATAGTAAATATCCCAAAAATGAAGCAGGAGATGATGTATTACATTAGGCTTGCAGCATCTGTTACTCTGCATAAAGGAAGCCCTGTTTGTCTTCAATAAGCAGATCTCTAGATACCATTTTAAGCCTGCTTTATAGGTTTCAGGCACATTTTAGTCTGTAACAGTAGATGCCTACAAGGCCAATGCATTGCTTTAATTTGACTGCAGAGTTCAGTTTAAATTGGATGAGAGATTGAAAGAGTGCATTTAACTTGATGAGGGTAAGTGAAATAAGTAGGTATGTAACTGTTGGCACGTTGCACATCCCAAGGTTTTATGACTGGCAGTTTTTTTCCAGGGCAGGCTCTTGAAGAAAGGGAAGTCAAATGTCAAATGTGTGCTGGCTTATTATAGGGTAAGTGGAAGGAGAGGACTAGTTTACAGAAGCAGAACCACATTTTCAAAGCAGGCAGACACTAGCTCGTGTCATGATAATTTAATATCTCTACCAAATTTTGCCTATTGACAAGATCTTAGGAAAAGCTGCCATAGCAATTTATCTTAGTAATAGATTAGCCTGACAATAGATTGTACAGTTAATACAAATTCTAACTTTTTAAGGATTACAAGGAATATATCTAATTTTACTAAAGTAAGCTTAAAAAAGGAAGAACTATGACCCACAATTGCTCTTGAACTTTCTAACATCAGAGATATTAAGCATAATATCATATATCAGTGATCAGTTCAGTAATACAGGGTTACTTTTCTTGTGTCAGTAGGTTGTGAATATCCTCACTGAATTACAGGTAACACGGGCAGGGTGACTATAGGGATCCTGACATGAAAAACATTGAGAAATACAAGGCTAGATATTCTTTATGACCTGTGCTTCATGTAAAATTCAAACTTTTATTTTATTGCTTTGGGCTTTAATAATCGCAGCACATTTCCATTTGTTTTTCTTCCCATAGTAGAGGAACCTCTTCTTAGCAAACTCACTGTATCAAATGCTACCTCAGACAGCGTGTCGCTCACGTGGGAAGCACAGGACAATGCCTTTGATCATTTTATTCTAGAAGTCAGAAACTCTGACTTCCCTTTGGACTCCCTGGTTCACACAGTGCCGGGGGCCTCCCGAAGCTATGTAATCACCAACCTCAGAGGTGCCACTAATTACACTGTTCAACTCCATGGTTTAATTGATGGGCAAGGTGGTCAGACCTTGACAGCATTGGCAACCACAGGTATTTCGCTTTTCACCTTCAAGGTTTGATTTTTTTTCTCTTATTTCCTTTCTGTCCACCGAACTGCTCTAAAACGTGTCTCCAACTCATCATTCCTTTGGTAAATAATCGGAAGGTTGCTGTGAGGGAAGACTGAAATAAGCTGAGTCTTAGAAAAAGCGGAAAAAGCGAGATGTGAGACAATGGAAAAGGCTGAAAAAGTGACCCCAGCATTAAGGCAGCCAGTGGTAAACCATGATTGGTTTCCTTTATATATGCACTTATCTGCAAGTTCTGTGTATATATAATCGGCTTGCTCCAGTTGGTTGTTTTTTACAGATTACCTTTGCATTTGATCTAGAATAATCTTCTTGTTCATCCCATCCTCACTTGCTCTTTTCCTGGTGGGAGGGCTTTCATGTCTTTGTCAGATCAGACTGGCATCTGCATGCCATTTTGTTTCTTTGTTTGGAAAGGTAAAATGTCTTCCAAAACATTTGACTCCCTTATTGGAGTTTCAGGCAGCATGTTACATGTCCAACCAAAACTGCATGGAGTGGTCCAGCCACCTTGTGTTGTTCCAACATCCTTCTCTGCCTGGCTTTTTTTTTTTTTTTTTTTTTTTGCATTTCCATCAAAGAGCTGGGCTCAAAAAAGAAGTCCACCCTTTCTTCATGTCTAGCCCACTGCTCTGTCACTTGCATTGAGACTTTTGAGTACTAAAGGATAATGGTGGTTTTACTGGATGCCAGAGCTTTTCCCATGTTGATAGTGTTCTGGGATAATAGGAGCTCACTGTGACTTGCCTGAAGAGATGATTTCAACTTCTGTTGCATGTGGGATTCTCTGGAATGCAGATATCATGATGTGAACCTGCTTGACTGGATGCAAGCAGCATGTAAAGGAATGTGGCCATTGCTGATGTGGCCATCTGGGTTAGATTGGAAAATATCCATTTGTTCTCTTTGACCTGCATGCCGGGCTGATGGATCCATGCTCAGTTTCACTGGGTTCTTCCCCCATGCTTGTTTGCATTGTGAGTATTTTCTGACCTCCTACCCTGTCTTCAGAAGTATCGTTCCTAAATGATGTTATCTTCCCTGTCTGCCATGGTGGCTTTGCTGGTCACCAGTTGACAGCAGGACAGCAGATCTTGCATGTGTCCTTAACTGGGGCCACTTGGAAGCGCTTGTTCCTCGATTTTTATGGAGAAAAAGGTGAAATATTTCTTAAAAGTCTTGCGATGAGGGATGGGGAGCAAAAGTTGGAACATTTTGCAGCAGTTATGAAGAGGTTTTCATTCTTTCATTGCTCTCTTCGTCAATGAGATATATCTTGCTTACTTTTCTTCCAGCATGAATCACATATGTAATTACTTTCCTGTATCTTGCTGGCTGCATTTCCACAGATGTTCTGGTTTATATCCAGTTGGCAAGAGAAAAAATAGAGAATCAACCCTGGGGGCAGACACAGGGTTCTGTGACCACCTGATGACAGGGTCACGCTCCTGCTGTCTCTCTGCTCTAGTGAATCTCTAACAATTTTATGCTAAATGAAATGACTTTCAACCAGGAAGGATGAAGAGCTCTCCACCTGCTACAGCTGGAAAGTCAGGCTTTCCTCCTGACAGTGGAGAGATGTGGTTTTATATTTCCTCTAGAAGAATAGGAAAGCCTTTGCTTCCTGAAGGAGAGTCCTGACCATTGAATTGCCAGAGAGAAGGAGACCAGCAGCCATCTCCTTTTGCTCAGAAAGGAAAACTACTGTGTTGAGTTTTTTGCTCTGTCCTCTAGATATTGTCTATTGGTGCCTAATCAGAGGACCTGCGTGCGCAGGGGGGTTGGACTAGATGATCTCTAGAGGTCCCTTCCAACCTTAACAATTCCATGATTCTATGAGGAATAGCTTATTCACAGAGCCCAGGGAGGTTTTGGCCCAACATTGGTGCTGATGTAATCAGTGCTAGGGCTGAAACCTCGAATAAACTGCAGGATCCAAAAATATGAGTATCCACAGCTATAAGCAACAGATTTTAAGGGTGTACATTTTTGATATCTTGCCTGAATCATGCTTTATCTTACTCGCTGTGGATGTGAGTATCCCTGTCAGCTTTTCAATGCTGAGTAACTACAGTTTCCATTATTTTACCCTGGGGCTGTATGCTGTTAGTGCTTCTGTAAATCAGGTCTACATTTTGTTAGGAAAAGTGAGTTTATCTAGGAAAATTGAATGAGAAAAATAAATCAAAAGTCAGCACTGATTTCGCTAGCTTCTTTCTAAAACCTTGCAAATAGTGGTTGCAATGTTCCATTCTTTCCCTGCAAAGCAAGGCTAAAATGCGTGTACAAACATAGCTTAAGCAGCTCTAATTCCTCACTGCTCATTCACCCTGCAGCCCCTGAGTAATGCTGTCTTTTCACCTGTGTTCCTCTCTCCTTCAGAGGCTGAGCCACAGCTGGGCACGCTCACACTCACAAACGTTACTCCCGACAGCTTCAACCTCTCGTGGACCACAAGAGATGGGCCTTTTGCCAAGTTTGTTATACATGTTAGAGATTCCTATGCAGCACACGAACCCCAGGAGCTCACAGTGTCGGGAGGTGCTCGCAGCGCTCACATCTCAGGCCTGCTAGATTACACTGGCTATGACATTAACATTAAGGGCACCACCGATGCAGGTGTTCACACAGAGCCCCTCACTGCTTTTGTCATGACAGGTACCTGCTTACAGGTTTGCATTCTGTTTATTGGTTTACAAAAATATATATTCCAGCATGGATGAGAGTCTTTCTATAACACTGAATATCTTTTCCAGCAATAGTGTTTTCATTTACCACCTTCCTCTGAGGATGGATCAGATAGTCATGTTGACCCTTAAAGAACTGTCCAGGATGAGCTCTAATTTCAAATAACTTAAGAGACCTCCTGAGTCTTTTTCCCACATGTAATAATCTTTTTTTAACTCCTGTTTACCTTAAAGAAACGATTGCATTTTGCACTTGCTTCTCTGATGACTTGTAGTTAGAAGTGACATAGTGTTTTCTTTGAACTCCCGTTCTTTTGCTCCATCAGAGCGTTGGTGCTTCCTTTTGAAAACTGCAACATGGAAATTGGTGTTTTAAAAGAAAGTTTCTCACTGTTAGGGAAACATGTGGCACTCTGTACACAGCAATAAGATCTGCAGTAGTTCCTATAAACTCTCTGGGTTTAGAGTGTTGGTGTCACTCAACACCTATCTTATAAAGTAGTTTCAGTATTTGGGACTCATTATTTGTTTAGCCATCCACACAGATACCAGACTGAAACATGGATGTTTGGAAATGCTTCATTAGAAGCAAGTAAGCAAGTTGCATAAATAGATCCAAATTAATAAAATTCTAAAAACATCCTCAATGTGTATACCACAAAATGTAAAGACTTTTAAAACTTCAGGACAGATATTTTTACACCAATTTGTAGCAAAACATTAATTTGAGCAACTATGAAACATCAAAACCAAACTCAAAACCTTTTCCCAGCTGAAGTACTGGATTTAACCAACTGGTACTTTCTTAAGTGAGTGGAATTTGAGTAATTGCCAGATGTGGGACTAGAAGGCCAGACTTGTCAAAAGATTAGAGAAATACTGGCAGTGGCTGGGGCCCAAGGCTTAGGAGAGCCTGTTGATTTCCATATTTGTCCTATCAGATTTTGAAAGAACATAAACGCTGAGAAAAATATCTTCTGAAATTGGGCCTCGTTTTCAGGGCTATGGTGAGAAAGTTTTGTGAGGCTAGTCCTCAGCCTCTAAACTTTGACACATATCAGATTTATGTGAAAAAAAATACTTCCCTGGAATTTCTTTAAGTTGTCAACATGTCATATCAGCAGCTGTCTATGAAGCTTTTGGGGCAGATGATTCCGCTCTCCTTCAATCATTAGCCCCTGTCGTTAGCTGGTGCAAGCCCTTGCTTCTCTCCAATCTCCTTAAATCAATGTTGAAAATATTTAGCACTTGCACTGGTTATGACCCTGCATGATTAATACCCTGCTTCTGGCTCTCCTACTGGCATCAATGACCCTCCACCACTGGAAGGAAATGCTGGAGATACTCATGTGAAGTAGAGAGATAAAGAATGCAAAATACAAGAATTGTGAATGCCAAAGTTGAGGCTTGTCCCTTAAGCATCAATGGCGGAGACAAGTGGAAGGAAATTACTGCTTCATGCATTACATCTCTAAAAGGGCTTCTATTACAACTTTAATGGTGTGCATATACATATATATGCATATATATATATATAGCTTATTTATAGTTCATGTGTAACAGAAGAAATGTGCTTATATGGTGAGGTTTCAAGGAGTTTCAAAGGAGCCTGTGAGATGAGGTGCTGAGACAGCCTTGATGAATACGAAGAATTAAGCAGCTAACTTCTGGAGGCTCCATTGAAAACCCTTGTCTTCTAGACCTGGCTAAGCATTTGCATAAAATCTGTATTTTTGGGGAAAAAATGTGATTGATGTTTGTTGGAATCTGTGATACTTTCTAATTTGCAATGTTTTTCACATCTTTTTTTGTGTATTTTTGCACCTTCCCTTCCTTTAGAGGCCATGCCCCCACTGGAAAACCTAACTGTCTCTGATATTAACCCTTACGGGTTCACAGTGTCGTGGATGGCATCGGAGAATGCCTTTGACAACTTTCTAGTAGTCGTGGTGGATTCTGGCAAGCTGCTGGACCCACAGGAGTTCCTCCTCACAGGAGCCCAGCGGCAACTGAAGCTTAAAGGCCTTATTACTGGCATTGGCTATGAGGTTATGCTTTATGGTTTTGCCAAGGGGCACCAAACAAAGCCCCTAAGCACTATCGCTCTTACAGGTATTTTAATGCAAACAAATTGTTCTCCTCCGCCCTTTTTCTCTTGCTTTTCCTCTCACTTCTTGGAAGATGTTTCATGCAACCCATTTGCAAAACAAACGTTGGCTTTTGCATCCTTTTTTGCATCGTGGCTACACATAACTCCTAGTGACTGATAGATTCACCAATGAAATTCCATTCCTTTTTACTTGGCATTTCACTTTTGGCTCTAAGAAGGAGCTGGTAGGGAAGCATGTCAGGTGGACTGAGTGGTGAAAGTTTTTGCTCTGGTCATGCAGATAATTCTAACTGGAGTCTTTAACCAAAAAATGGCTGCAAGCAGGAGCTTATCTTGTTAGAAGTTGTTGAGCACCTCAGTAGTCTCCAACTTGCCAAGCATCTGAATCATTCAAGAGGAAAGTCACACTGGCTTTCCTCCTCTCTTTCATTCTCTGTGTGGATTCCACCTCCAGACTATCAGTTGTGATCATTGTCGCCCATAAGGTTGGCATCTCTCTCCGTAAAACCTCAGCTCACGTTCTCAAACTCATCATAGCTGTTGTTTTCCAGCTGCATTTGAGCTTTCTTGGAAAATCATTGCAGACGGATTCCATAGCCCATACACATCCAAGCTCATCTGCATGTTGCTGTCTATGCACTGGTAAAGCTAAGGCTTACCTGGTTGGAGATTGGTGAGAAAGTAAATGGGAATGTCTTCCCGTAGAAGAAAAAAGTGCACTGAAGATACAAAAAAAAAAAAAAAAAAAAACACTCCAGTAAAACATTTGTAGGTATGATGCTTGACCATACTGAGTTAAAGATATTTCAGAGTTGCTTAGTATGTTAGAACTCCTGGGATCCTCAAGTGGCTTCTTTCACTTTGTATTTAAGTGTGCAGTTTAAGGAATATGGATTTTCATTACACCTTGTTGTTGCTTCAGTATTTATTTATTATAGAAGTGAAGGATTTGTCTGATCAGAAACATTACAGAGGCAAGAACTGCATGGAAAAGGGGTTTTGCATGAAGGAAAGGACTCTTTCCAGTGGCTTCTGTGTTATACTCCTAACAGAGGGAAATCTGACAAAATTATAGGCATGGCTGCAGATCTGTAACAAGAGCTCGTTCTTATTATATGTGAAGGTTTCACACATGCTGGGTAGCTCAGTGAAAGCAAGGGACAAATGCACATCAAACTTACTATGAGCATGTTTAATTTTGCATGGCAGAGGCAAATGGTGTATGTCTATATACTGGATTTGCTATGAAATAATGAATTTTGAGCGGGCCCACACACACTATCATATTTCTTCTTCATAATGTGTGTAATGCTAATATACTTTTTTTTTTTTTTTTAATAGCAGGCAGATTCTTTCCCTTTATTTGAACTGTGGTTGGATTCTTGCAGTGTGATCTATCCAGACCTCAGGACAGTCAATAATGAACTGGTTAAAAAAGTCATCTTTTTTTTTTTTTTCCTCCTGCTATCTTCTTTTTTAGAAGCAGAACCGGAAGTCGACAACCTTCTGGTTTCAGATGCTACCCCAGAGAGCTTCCGTCTGTCGTGGACTGCTGATGATGGGGTTTTCGACAGTTTTGTTCTAAAAATCAGGGATACCAAAAGGAGATCTGATCCACTGGAAGTAATAGTACCAGGCCATGAGCGCACCCATGATATATCGGGGCTGAAAGAGGGTACTGAGTATGAAATAGAGCTCCATGGAGTTAGCAGTGGACGACGTTCCCAACCCATAAATGCAATTGCAACCACAGGTATTGTCTTCACAGTAACAAAAGCAGAACATGTTCATCCCTGTTTCTTTTAACATTTTTGTTTTTTTCTAGATGGTTTGAGCTGTTACTGTCGTGTTCAGACTGTTTTCTCCATGGCCTTCATCCAAGTTTCTGTTCTGTGCAGTGTCCAGATTTATAATCAACCATCTCTGATTTCTTACCTTCATCATTACCTATTTAATATGGCTTATTTATTTACTCCCATGATCTGCAAGTAGGCAGCACAATCTAGAAACTAAAGCATTGAATTTAGAAGCCAAGAAATATCTTGTGTCTGTATTAGATTTTATCAGTGGTTTCCTGGGGCTAATTACATATCCCCACTTCACATCAATTTACTTCCCTGGAAAAGAGGGATAATGAAATGAATTTACAAGAGGTATTGGCAGGTTTGATGAGCCGTAGGACTGAGCATCATTAACTCAGTTTGATTTTACTAGGAGTAACAGCTGCTCAATAATTCAAGTGAACTTGAATCTCTTGCAAAATTAAATATTTGGTGCCAAAGTGCTTTGAAAACCTCCAGAAGTCACTATATTTATCCGTTCATTTATGTCAAGTATCCTGAAGTGAATTAGCTTAGTGAATTATCCAGATAAAATCTCTAGAAGAGAAGAAGCAGATACAAGTACCAGTTACTGCTGTTTTTTTAAAGATACCGAAGCCTTGATCCTCAGTTACAGTATACTGATTCCACCAAGCTGGAGCTCTTGCCTTTTGTCTCACACTGACAAAGAAAACTTCTAAATGGAAATGCAAAGGTCTGGGGTTTGAACTTAGCCTAAAATTTCATGTGTTTCTGAAAAATCTCCACCACGACAAAGCCTCATTTTCATAGTCTCAGTGAGAAGGAGAAATTGGTTTGCTGGTTGTAGCTGGATGTATGTTCTTTCTTATATTATTTTCCTATGAACTTATCAAGTAAAAAAATTCTTGAGTCCCAAGTTGAATTCCTCAGATTAATCAAAAGAAAAAAAGAAAATGATTCACAATTTGAAGCATTTCAGTTTGGCATTTTTGAATGAATCTTTTCTATTTTTTTCATAGTTGCATTTTGAAACTTATTTAAATCCTTTAAAGCGATTATTTTTAAAGCATCTGTGGAAAAAAAAAACATATAAAGCAAATGAACCTATGTGCTTTGACCCACTGTCTCTAAATTTTGAGCTTGCTGTTGATATAAAGCCTAACAATTTGAAGTCAACCTAAGTTAGGGAGGAGGGAGAAGAGCAGAAGAAGCCCAAGTTCAGTGTATGAGGGCCTCGGGTCTCCTCAGGGTTTATGGTGCCAGTTGTAAGCATGAAGAGACACATCTCTGACTGCCATTACCTCCCCTGAATAAACAGGGAGGAAATATATACTCTCACCAAGACTTTTACATGAACCAGAACATGTATCTGTCACAAGCCACCTTTCTCCACGCTCGTGAGGGTCGACTCATGATGGAAAGGGATGTTTGAAGTCAGCTGCACTTGTTAGCAGTGTGTACCCATTTTATCTACTCCCAGATTATTTATCGTAAACGTTTTCCTCATGACTACATTTTTGTTTAGCTCTTTCAGAGAGATTCAGGAGCATGTCAGATGCTGAAGGCTGTAGCCTAAAGGATGTTTGTCAGCTGTAAGCAAGCTATGAATAGGAGAGCTGGATTCACAAAACGCAGCTATTTCACTAAGACCACAGATTGCTACATATAGCTGGGGCCACCAAGACATCTAACTAGACCCTGATTCAGTAGATATTAGACAAATATATGCATTTATATACATATATGTCTGGCACCTCCAGTTTGATTGCAAAGAAACATCAACTGAAGTGGGTGACTCCCTGCTCTCTGCAGTTTGTCCTTTTGGCCCCAAAAAATCTGCTGCGAGAGAAAACATGATCCATAAAATCACGGTGGTTAGAGGTAGCCCTGTGCAGAGCTGCAGTGCTCCAGCAAGGAACCTGCTGCTCTCGGGGGAACATTTGACACCTCCTGGAAATTTGTTTCTGTAATGTTTGCCAAGATGCAGTTCAGCCCTGAGCAGAAGACCACAGCTTGGCTGTGTGCTGCTTTATATCCTAGGGAAGAAAGCTGCTGCTACTGTTTTCTTCTAAATGTGTTTTGCTGTGCTCTGCTGGTATTTTTCATCTGAGAGGATCCCAAAACACTTCACATGCTATTCGTATACGATAAATGGAGCCTGTTGTTTCTCTTTGCTCAGGGGAAAAGAGCCAGTGCAAGTCTTGCAGTTTGTTAGTGATGAAAAACAATGTTTGAGCCCAAAAGAGTAATAGCAGCTCCCCAGGTACCATGGATGTTTTAACAAACTCACAGCTTAGGGAGATCTTCCATTGCTCAAACAGCTTATTGGTCATAATGCTGGAGAATAATGCAAATCATCTTTATCTGCCCACCAGCTGCATGTAATTTCTTTTCCTTTTTTTTATTTTTTTTTATTTTTAATGAATGACAAGATGGAAAAACTTTGCCTGTTTTTTATGCCTGCTGAATCTTGGCTTTCAGGTAGCTGAAGAAGATTGTTGCAGTTGCTCCTTTTTTGTTTTCCTGTGCTCAAGGGAACAGCTCTGTTACATCTCCATCACTTTTCCAGGACTGATGCTTCCTGTGGTGGTCCTTGTGCTGTTTGCTCTCTGAAATGCAACCACGGTTGGGATAGCTGGGGCTGTGGGACTTGCTCTTACCTGGCTCTGTTTGCCAGCTCACCTCGAGGCTCCCGTGACCATAGTCTGCTTCTCAGCAGTGCTCCTGCAGCAGAACACAAGCCCAAAGCGTGTGCCCGCAGACCTGGCTATCACAGAATCCAAGCAGGGGGACTGGGAACTTTGGTTTCTGTGCAAGGCAGAAAGGGTCGTGTCCAGGAAAGCCCTGAGTAAGCTACCCACAGCCTTTTTTGCTAAGGACACCTACGTTGTAATAGGAAATCAGTGCACTTTTCATTCCTCTTTCTTGCCTGGTATTCTGTATTCTCTCCTGTTTCCCCCAGACCATAGCTGACTCAGTATCAGCTCTGAGGGCTGTGTAGTTTTACTAATCTCACCTTGTTTTCTTCCTTCTCTTTAAATTTTTTTTTCTTTCTTTCTTTGGCTTTTCCCTATAAGCGAATCCCACAGAGCCAGCATATCTAGCAAGCTCCAGAGAAGTAATTTATGTTTCTCTTGAGAGCTTGGTTATTTTTCTTTCCTTGCCTTCCAGCCATTTTAGTGCATTGCTGCTGGAGCTTTGGGGGGCACATGGAACAAACAGCCCTCTTAAGCTCCTTCCTCACAGACACGTTCTTTCCAAGCTATTTCAAGCACAGTCATTTATTTTCTCCTCTTGCCCCCCTTCTCCTGCCCACTGCCTGTTCCACCTCTTTTGATGTGGCTAATGTTTAATATCTGTCACCATTGTGCTAATGGCCTTCTCTCTGTGGGCTGTTTATTTTGTTTTTAACATGTCAGGGTTGTTTTGCTTACAGTCAAAAAGGCAGATTGGAAGTGAGATGCTAAATATAAACTTCCAAGTAGCAGGTCTCCTTACCATGTCCTTCCAGAAGCCCTTTCCATGCTCATTTTTATGTTGCTTAATTAGGTCTTTGACTGAAAAGTTATTCAGACTGTAGTAGATGTTGGTTTGTGTCTTCAGTTTAGGTTGTTTTGACAAGCAGGCCTCTCTTTTCTATGCAGGTGTCCAAGGCAGTTGTTGAAGGGGAGATATATCTGGTTCTAATCAGTGCAGCTGCAGCACCCTACCTGTGTTGGAAGGGTTGAGGTGTTTGGGGCAGTATGTGTGCCTATGTGTTTTTTAAAAAATCCAGTATCCTAAGCTCCTTTGTAAGTCATCATAAATCACACCAGTAGTGTAGAAAGGACTGCATTCTCTGCCCGTTCTAGCAGCATCATGTTGCTCTGAAATGAGCAGGCAATCCAGCTAAACTGGACTTAGGCAGAAAGGCAAAACAACAGGATCATAACTGTGCATTTTTCCCTGCATCATTGCATTGGACAGAATATTGACAGCACCAGCTCTTGGCACAGAAGACTAAGACAAATCACTCTTTCAGCAAGAAGAATTGATAAATTATTTACCTTTTCCTTTCTGTGTGTTGTCTTTGTGCTCTTTTCTTCACTGGCAGTTGTTGGATCTCCCAAGGGAATTTCTTTCACGGACATCACAGAAAACTCAGCTACAATCAGTTGGACACCACCACGTTCCCGTGTGGATAACTTCCGGATTTCCTACGTCCCTGTGTCAGGAGGTGAGTAAGCACAGCAAAGGAGAGGATGAAGATGGGTGGAGGGGACCAGCAGAAAAGATAAGCCCTGCTCATGTCAGTGCATAGCAGTCTTCTGTAGATCATCTCTCATGTGTTCCAACTGTTAGTCAGGAATACTGGTGAGCATACATGGTCCCCATGGCCAGCCTCTGTGTAAATGTAATGTCCCATATCCCACGGAAAACATTTGCAAGAGAGCTTAGAGCTAAATGCTTCTATCGCTGTATGCCTAATCGTGGCCACGTTTACAAAAAACTCAGTTCCCACTGAGTCTCCTCAGTAAGGGTACATTTCCAAAATGCCTCATTCTTTTATAGGAACTTTATGAGCTAAGCGTATTTGAGAAGATGGCCCATGGAAATAGTAATCATGATCTATGGTTATGAAAGTTTTCCAAGGCAGTGGTTTTCCTTTGTGCTCCCCAGTGTTTCATTCCATGCATTGTATCTCTGCTTTAGTGTTCAACTTAAAAAATCTTCCTATAGCAAGTTTTTCACATAATTTATGGACATATCTGAATGCAAACACCTAAAATCACATAAACAACAAATACTGAAAACATCAGGAGCACAGAAGTGTTTTTTAATAAGACTGGTCAAGATAAGGGCCTCTACACAACACAGAATGTAAGCACACAAGCAACTTTAAGCACATTAGTAGTCACAAAATTCTAAAGAAAGGAATTTGCTTAAATGCGTTCCAGAATAAACTCAGAATTCAAAATAAATATATGTCCTCATCCACACATTAAGGACCTCTTGGAATACTCTTATCTACACTTAAGATGAGATGGATAAGAGAGAAACTCCTCATACTTAGCTTATCTTTCTCCAGCCTCTGTAAGAAACAAGGCAGATTTAAAGTAGCTTGTCCTTTTAGGTGTGTGAATTTTCTTATGGAGAGACCTGTGTTTTCAACTGTCTCATTTGTGAACTTCCAGTATTTTTGTGAACACAAATGTTCATTTATTTCTTACTTTGGACATTGATACCACCAGGAAAAAAATGCAAATCGATATCTTGGATTTAGGCTTCATGGCAGCAGTATGTTTTCCTGAGGTTGTCCCTCAACATTAGTGATTGTAATTAGGAAAAATCCAGCCACTTTTGCACAAGTTCATCCATGGTGGTCACAATAGGTTTCAGATTAAACACATCCTTAAAGCATTTACTGGAACATTATGTTATTAATCCCTTGGCATTCGGCTTCATCTTAGGTACTCCCAGCATTGTTACAGTTGATGGAAGCAAGACAAGGACCAAGCTGGTGAAATTAATCCCGGGTGTAGACTACACTGTTAGTATCATCTCTGTGAAAGGCTTTGAAGAAAGCGAACCCATCTCTGGAACACTGAAAACAGGTAATACATACAGTAGAAACAGTGATTTTCAAATGCACTGTTCGTGCCATATAAATGACTCAGGAACTGGAGATGAAGACCCAGTGAGATATCACTTTGGCTATCACTACGAACTGTAAGATTCTTTTTTGCCCACTTTCCCTTTCTGTGTTTGTCCCTCCTATCCCTTTCTGTCCCATTTTGAGGACCAGCTCAGTTTAGTTCGTTCCACTTTCTGGAGTGGACTCAAACCCTAGATCTCTCAGGTCCCAGACCAGTATCCTCAAGCACAAAAACATCCTCTCTCTCATACTTTCTTCAATATAGCTTTCAATATCCCAAAAGGAAATGGGTTCCACTCTACAGCTGTTAATCTTACCCTCTAATTTAACTGTTCTTTCTTGGGGACCAGCAAGTGTTTGGAGATGCAAGGAAGAAGACGAGTATTGGATAATAAGGTGAATTTTATAGCCCATTCTAGCTGTACTGGAGGCAGACATCTATCCCAATTTAGGGAAAGCATAAAACGAAGTGCAACATAGACTGCCACAAGAAAGAAAGGCACAGCATGTGGGGATTTTGGATGGTTACCTGGATGCTCAGTTGTTTTATTTTAAAACTTTCTAGGCAAGCTGTAGGTCAGAGTGGCTATTGGTTGCCATCAAATAAGTTCTTTTTCTCAAGCTCTGTCTCCTGAGTTCACTTCAAAGAGCAGTCCTGACTTGAGAGAGTTGAGGGAAATATGTCAGCTCTGGCAGAGCCCTTAAGAGTGAAGATATCAAGAGCAGATCTGAGGACAGAACTAGCTATATCTGTTCTCAGCATTTAATCTTTTCACGCACTGACCCCCCTTTTCAGCTGAGACAGCTGATGTTTTATGGGCTCTGACGTCTTTTCTGGAGAACTCCACTGTTCCAAAGGGGGATCATAAAAGCTGCATTAAGCAAAAATGTTTGCACATTTTGTATCATATCATTAAAGTAAAGCAGCAGAAACTGTTTGTCTAACTCCTTCAATCTGGTATTCTCTCTTTTTTTTTTTTCCAGCTCTGGACAGTCCATCAGGCCTTGTAGTGATGAACATCACAGACTCTGAGGCATTGGCGACCTGGCAGCCAGCAATTGCCGCCGTGGATAACTACGTTGTCTCCTATGTTTCTGAGGATGGTAAGGAGAGTTAGTGACGGGTCAGGGAGCTGTCAACATTGCAGCTTTTAAGAGGGATCCTCAGGAATGAGTTTAGCAGGGTGATTCCAGGAGGATGAGGTGGGAGTGAGGGGACAGCTGTTATTTGAAGGAGATTTTTTGTTGGAAGTATTTTGAAATATCATTGTTTTCTTTACAAGTTCATAATTCATACCTGATATTCGGGAAAAGAAAGGACAGTGTTATAATTCATATGAACACTAGAGAGTGCTAATACTTTTAGATAGAAGACTGCTGTTAATTCACATTCAGTGTAGGTGTAAACAAAGAAATTAGGTCTGTGCTTTCACTGCTATTTCATGCTTGCTCCCACCTGGTATAGAAATGATCACTGAGAATGGAGCTGAGCACAGTGACATGTCTGTCCTCCTGAACAGCAGCCGAGATTTGTCCTTTTCTTGTGTGTTTGCTTCTTAGAGCCAGAAGTTAATCAGATGGTGTCAGGAAACACTGTGGAGTATGATCTGAACGGGCTTCGACCTGCAACTGAGTATACACTGAAGGTCCATGCACTGAAGGACACACAGAGGAGTGAAACCCTTTCTACCAAGTTCACTACAGGTGCTGTTTCACACCTCACTCGGTGGTGAGGTGTCATCTTTTGTAGTCCCACCGGGTTTACGTTTTTCCAATACCATCAAGCTATCCAGCACATTGCACATTTTTAGCCCAAATTTGAGTTTTGCTAATCTTTGCACCATATTTTCCCCTGATAGAAGGCCATCTGTCTGGCCCAGAAAGCAGTATTTTGTCAACAGTTCTACAGCATTTCTCACATGAAGCAAGAACAGGAGCATTTGTTTGGTAGCTGTTCCATCCTGACAGCTTCTTCTAAATATCAGTGAAATGATGCACCATTCTCATTTTTCTGAGCATACACTGCTCATTTATGGACTGTCCTTGCCTCATTCAGGAACATTTACCAAAGAGTTAAGAACAGAACCAGGCAAATTCATTGCTATAGTTGTGATAGTGAATAGACACTGTAGCCAGAAAAAGTATATTATATGAAATTTTTTCCTGTTCAAAAGAGGATTCTTTGGAAACAAAAAATATCAGTTTCCTAAAAATATGATATGTCTTCTTGTGTGAAATAGTAAAAGGCACAGCTTTGTTTCAAAAGACATTTCAAAGCAACTGCTTATAAATTAAAGTGCCTAAAACAGGCTGATATTTTAAGTTACATAAATACATGCAGTTTAAAATCTCCAGTAATAAGATTATTTTTAAAACACAAAATGAATATAATGAATAAATTAGTGATTTTGGTTTTAGTCTCAAATCTCTGTAGAGCAAAAGTTTGCTTTCCTGGCTTGTTTTGTTATTTTAATAGTCTCTGTACTTCATGTTGAAGTGATTGTAACTGTTTTTTTTTTTTTTTTTTCTCCTTCAGGACTGGATGCTCCAAGAGATTTAAGTGCCACTGAGGTTCAGTCAGAAACAGCTGTGATAACCTGGAGGCCTCCGCGTGCTCCTGTCACTGACTATCTCCTCATCTATGAGTCCGTTGATGGCAAAGTCAAGGTATGGAGCTTGTATCCAAACCGGAGAGGCTGTGCCTCAAAACCGAGCAGTAGGGTTGCTTAGTACCCTCTGGCCATGGGACATAAACACACTCCTGAAACTGAACGTGGTAAAATACAAAGCACCTGTCTAGGTGCTGCCTTGAACATGAATGAATTTCAAACCTGCTTTATGCTTTCCCAAATCATATTCTGAAATAGAAGCCTAGTTGCAGCCTGAACTTTGAGAGTCCTCTCCCTCGATACAGAAAACCCGTATGTTCAAGGCATGTGAACACTTATGCTAAGTTGTCTTTAAGCGACATATCGTAAGTGTTATTACATTAAATATTCATTCCCAGATAGCTTTTCTCATAGTTCTTATGAAACTGAACATTATAAAAATCTTCAGGGAATAAAAGTGTTTTGTTAATAATTTAAATGGTAAAATACCATAAATGATATACAGAAAATTAATCTGCAAATGTAAAAATATGTAGCAGTTCCAGTTTTTATGATTTCACCGCTGAGATTTCTCTGTGTTATTTATTCCCCCTATAGGAAGTCATCCTAGGCCCTGAGACAACTTCCTACAGTCTGACAGAGCTGAGCCCATCTACTCAATACACGGTGAAACTTCAGGCGCTGAACAGATCCTTGAAGAGCAAAGTGATCCACACTATTTTCACTACAAGTAAGGACCTTAAAGTGTGTGAGCAGCTGAAATAATGTTTAAGTTACTTCCCTCAGGATGTCTCTGAGCTCTGCAATAAGCAGATGGAGATTTCACAGAATTTTTTTAAAATAATTGTCAGTAAGCACTTCATTCACTGGTAGTGTCAGTGCAGAAGTCTTCGAGCTCTCTGAGCTGTAGTTCCATCTGCTTCTCCCAGACTGACAGAATGAAATTTGTTTCTTCCTATCCATCTGTGTTCACCACCATAGTCATCCTCTGCTGAAACATTATGCCTTTCCCATGCAAAATGTTGAAGGAACACTACTTTTTAAAATTCAGACAGACATTTCAATTTGTTTATGTGTTGATGCATAGCAAGCTGTTAAAACAAATCAATATTTTAACTTGAAAGGAAGCAAACCACGTGTACAAAAAAAAAAAAAAAATCAGTTCAACAGTCCTCAGAGCAGAATTGAAGAATTTCTACTTTTTTTTTCTCCTCTTTGAGATCAGTTTTCACACTGCCACGCTGGCATGTTCATTCCAGCTCTAGCAGGAAAGACTCTCCAGCAAGCTGAATGCAATAATAATTTGGGTTCACTGAAGGTCACCTTACAGTTGACATAGCTGGCAGTCACTGATCTCACTGACACATTTTTGAAATGAAGGAAAGGAAAATAAAATGTTGCTTAATATTAACTGTGAAATGTTGCCTGTCGTTTGTCTCCCTTTTGACTGTTTCCAGTCTTTCAGACCCAGCAAGGCCTTCAAATTCATGCATACTTCCTCCAAGCACTTGCACTAACTTCAGCTCTAGGATTCTCAGAAATGCTAATCAAAGTCAGAAAACCCTAGGTCTGCTCACAGTTAGTTTTTGTTGTATAATACAGAGTGAACTCCAGCAACAGGAGATGATCATCAACCAGCAATAAAAGTTGAACCTGGGGCAGAAAGAAATACAAAGCAACATTTCCATGTAGTTTCAACTGTCATTTACAATTTTTTTTAAAAAAAACTAGTTTTATAACATATTTAGTATTATACGTCCAAGTACTTTGTATGAAAGGTCACAACTGTGACTTGAGCTTCTAGGCTCTGTACCTGGCTGTGTCATTGACCCAATATAGATTTTTATGTGACTCACCTAATTTCCACATGTTCTTTGCAATTGCTGATTTCTTAAGAACTGCTCCTTGTTTTCTTTTGTTTGCAGGTGGTCTTCTCTATCCTTATCCTAAAGATTGCTCCCAGGCTCTTCTGAATGGAGAAACTGCCTCTGGACTCTACACAATCTACCTGAACGGGGACAAGGCACAGCCTCTGCAAGTCTTCTGCGACATGGGCGAGGATGGGGGCGGATGGATTGTGAGTAATGGGTAGAGGGCCTGAATCAAGCCTTGCTGTCAACAGGCTGTACTGTGAAAAGTGGTCACAGAACAGGTCTTGGTCTCCTACAGCATCTTTCATAATACTCCACCAGCGTAGGGCTACTTTGTCTATAAATTTGGGAAATTTTGTCTTTTGTAGGACGCTTCTGTGCCTAGAAGCTAGGTTGCCAGCTCTTTTGGTAGTCAGAGGAAGGGAAGGTATCTCCAGAGCATGGATCATGTCAATGCTCTCAGCACTTAGGAAAACACAATTTGCTACCAAATAGCATGGATCTCTCTCTATTGGCTATAGAGGGACCTGAAATCATCTTAGAGGGACCTGAAATCATCTTAGATTAGATACACAGCTTCTAAACTAGCAAGTAAAGTGAAATGGAGGTGATCTGAACATACTCTGCTTGTAGGTGTTCCTGAGGCGCCAAAATGGAAAGGAAGATTTCTACAAGAACTGGAGGAATTATGTGGCTGGTTTTGGAGATCTTAAGGATGAATTCTGGATAGGTGAGTGGCAAGATTTTTTTTTTTTTAAGAACAACCAAAAATAAAACCCCCAAAATACTAGGAGCCATTTAGCAGCCTTTATTTAGACTTAGTTGGCAAAAGTAATTTTTAAAACTTCTTGTGGCAAGAAGATTGGACTAAGAAGACTAGGAAAAGCATGCTATGAGGAATATATTGATTATTGGATCCAATCCAGTCCCCTCTAGTTGTAGCTCATAAATATTATCTCTTCTTGGGTCAGTGAATGTACCAGTGTTCGCTGGTATTCAGTAAGAAAACACAGGATTACTTAAGAATCAAATGCAAACCTTACTAGTGTACTCCTAGGACACCCCCAAAAACATAAGCAAATGGCCCCAGAAAATGAAGTGAGGAAAACCTGCAAAAAGCAAATTTTCAAACCTTGCTCAACATTTCTTTCATGATCATGCATTGCACCTTTGATTATTTTTCCCAAAAGCTTAGATGATGCTGTGATTAGAAAGGTTGAGAATGTCTATGTGAATCTTTTAAAGTCTCTGCCAGCCCATTTTTGTATTTACATTACCCTACAGCTCAAAAAGCTCATTTACCTCAGCAAGGCTTATGCCGTGTTGTATCTATGCAGGCTGGTTATAGCCCTTTCATGGCATAACATAATAGAAGATAAACCTGGGGAGATAAATGGATCATTCATATATTTCTACAGGTCTGGAGAACCTCCACAGAATCACCGCTCAGGGCCAGTATGAGCTGCGTGTGGATCTGCGGGACAGAGGTGAGACAGCCTACGCTGTCTATGACAGGTTCAGCGTTGGAGATGCTAAGAGCCGCTACCGCCTAAGAGTAGATGGATACAGCGGCACAGCAGGTGAGCTGATATTCTTTTTTTTCTTCTGATTTACAGTTTCCTCCCATTTGTCTCAGAGTCACAATGTGTAAATGGGGCAGAGCTACCCACAGCAGGTACCTCTTTTGTGTCAGGCATTTGAAAATATGAACATATCAGTATCTTTTATGATCCCATTCTAAATCCTCCATTCGTTTAGGTGCCACTTTTTATGGCATGCTTATGACAGAATATAAAGCAGTGTATTAAACAGAGACATATCACATTTGGGCAAGGCTTGACTGTCATTTATGCAGCTAATAATAGCCTAGTGCACCCTCATCTCTGTCCGTGGGATATGCTATATCCCTACTATAACAAGATTTGTGATTTTGCTGAATAAATCATCTGCCTATTGTAATTATCCTGGGGCAGACCCTGCAGCTCTTATTGAGTCTTCTTTGGTGCTTCCGAGGAGTAGGACATAAATCCAGCTCCAGAGGACGTCTTAAAGGGAAATACTTTCATACTGCAAGGTGTATGAAAGAGAGCCCAGAAAGAGGCATTTCTGGAGTGTCCCCTCTCACCATCACACAAACTTTCTGTACAGCTAATAGGGGTGCAGACAGTTTTTTTCTAGAAAGTTCTAGGATGTATATCTGTTATAGGATTTAACCTGGGGACTACTACTGCTAGTAAGATCTCACCTGACTACTTCGTAGGTGCTCAGGGCTAAGTAAAAGGAGATGCTAAGCTATCAAATATGAGCTCAGCACAAGCTTCCCCATTACTCAAACTATAAATGGGCACCCAGTCATTGGGCTTGGGAAGTCAACAGTAGGAAGACATCTGTACTCTGTGTTAGTGGCTAATGAAGACAAGTAGCTTAACTGCATGGACCAACTAAGTGTGGAGATTCCTGTGGCCTCAACTCGCTCTTCGTGGAGGTCCCTTTGATGCTGCCATGTATACACTACCTTCTGTATGGAAGGCCAAAGTCCAGTTTTCAATAAAAACTGCAGAAATAGAGCTGCATGAGTGACCTTTTAATAACTTTGGGATTACAGACGACCTGGAAGAATGTTTTGAGTGTCTTCCAATGACAAAGACTGTGCACTTCCTTCTAAAGTAAAACAAGTCATTTTTTTTAAAATCTTAGGTGCACAACCAGACTTCACTGTTGGTGCATGCCACAGTCCAAATATTTTGTGCAGAATGGTTCCCTCCATATAATCTAAACCATGCAAACCATGACCTTGCCCTTTCTTTTGTCCCCCCAAACAGGTGACTCCATGACCTACCATAATGGAAGGTCCTTCTCCACCTTCGACAAAGACAATGATTCCGCCATCACCAACTGTGCTTTGTCATACAAGGGTGCATTCTGGTACAAGAATTGTCACCGAGTCAATCTAATGGGCAGATATGGTGACAACAGCCATAGTCAGGTGAGCTTGGTGTTTAAAGTCTTCCATAATACAATAGAAGAGTGTGAACTGCAATAATGAATCTATTGTTCATTCATTCATTCAGGTGGTTCAGGTAATCAGACATCAGAGCACCAATAAAACTCACTGTATTAGGCCAAAGGATAATATGGAAAATCATGGGCAGTTTCTCACTAAATGATAATTTCATGTCAGCTGAGCAAATATTGATGACTTTTTCCATATGTTTTAGCATGGCAATATCCCAAGTGCGCAGGGAAGAACTATCAACCATCCAACCATATGTTCCCACATGTGAAACAAAATGCTCTTTCTGCCATGTAGGCCGGACAAAGTGTTGCAGCTCTGGGGGACAGCATTGATCTGTCCCATATAGGCTGTGTGACCTAGACCTGTACTGTGTGACCTGTGCTTCCCAAAGGCCCTTTACTTTGCTGTGCTTCTGTTCCCTGTGGTAGAAAACTGAACCTGCAACCTGAAATGAGAGCAGTAAAGGCTGAAAACTGAGGGCGGGGGGTTGGACTAGATGATCTCTAGAGGTCCCTTCCAACCTTAACCATTCTGGGAGTCTGGGAGTCTGGGCAGGGGAATAGGCAACCTCTCATGCTTCATCTTTGCCTTTGCAGGGCGTTAACTGGTTCCACTGGAAGGGCCATGAGTACTCCATCCAGTTTGCAGAGATGAAGCTGAGACCCTCCAGCTTCCGAAATCTGGAAGGAAGACGAAAGCGAGCGTAAAGGCCCGGAGTGACAGAAGGGCTACAGGCAGGGCATGGGGGGGAGGGAGAGAGCAGGGATGAGGGGGAATCCTCTGGTATCACAGGGTGGTGGGGTGTGAGGAGCTGGTGACCTTACCAAAGCATCGACGATCCTTGACTTGGCCCGACAGAGGCTTCTGCAGTCCCATCAACGAGCCTTAAGCAGCCACCGCGTTTTCGGCAGAGCAGCTCCGGCTGCCCACGGCTAACATCCTTTACACCAAAGACAATGATCTCAAGGGTTGTATGTTGTTTTATTAATTTTTATTTTCTCAGAATGCCTCTGGGATGAAGTTCTTGCACAGTCTGACTATCTCTTGGGTGGCCCGGGGTAGGGGAGGGAGAACAGCTTGTACATTGGTAGTTTGTTTTAGAACCAGCCATACTTTATACACAGAAATGTGTATGATTAATTATCATTATTATTATTATTAGTTATAATTGAAATCCTTTGGTCATTGGAAAGCCTTTTATATATATATATCAAGTACCACAGAGAAGGATGGGGAGGGAAGGGGAAAGCAGTATGTTTTTAAACTTAAGCATAAAATTAATATTATTAATATAATGACAAAGTAATAATAATAATGATAATAATAATAATAAGCTAAGTTTTTGTGATTTTTAAGAGAACCATGCTTTCCAAAACACAGCAGGACAGTGTCTGATTGTAAGGTTTTTTTAAATAAAAGCACAATTACTTTTAAATAAATTTCTACCTTTTTATTCATGTTGAGTTTGTGCATGTCCAGGGTATATTCACGTACAAGGGAAGTTAATGAAAGGTTGAGAATGATCAGGCTGCTAAACACATACAGAAAACAGTTCCTTTTATCAGAGGTCAGTTGTGAGTATTCTGGAGGGTTTAACAATGAAAGGCCCATAGGATTTGATTTCCTTTAGAACATATTTCTTTTACTTTCTACCCAAAAGCTTCTTACATGTAATTTTTAAGTGTTACTGATCAACACTTGCTCCATCTAGGTGGAAATAACTAACACAGCAAACAAGGAATATGCAATCCGACATTGGGTATCAACCAACATATTGGCTCTGAATATGTGTGTAAATAAAGGGCTCTCTTTTTTTTATATAAATGAAATCTATGTGTAGTTCCTCTGTATTATATTTCAACTGAAGATAATAAAAGTTTTTTTTGTTTTAATCTGAGTCTCTCTACCCTACTTCAAGGTTGCACTTTGCAAACAGAGCAAATGTTTCTGCTCCCTCCTTGACCATCACTGCATTCTGGTTTGACAAGGAGAGGCTTTAGGGAGGATGCGACCAGCTCTGTGAATAAGACGTAAGTGGTAGCTGTTAGGTAAGGTTGGATATTGTTGATTTACAGTGAGTGGCTGTAAGGCACCAAAAAAAGTCAGTCTCAGCAACAGACTGGCAATAAAGTCAGTCTTGGTAAGTCCATTCAGAAACGCTCAGCATGGTGGTCATGGGTTTACAGATGGACTGGATGATCTTAAAGGTCTTTTCCAACCATAATGATTCTATGATTACCTGAAGTGGGATTCTAGTGCAGGTGCCTGTAACGTGTCTCTCTGAATTTTGTCTTCTGCGATTCAAAGACACGTCTGTGGCTCCATGGCCAGCAGATGGCACATGGAGTCTGCCCGGGACAGCAGCCAGGCTCTGCTTGGCAGCTCCTGGGTATCATACAAGTACGGGGCATCAGTCCAGTCACTGCTGTCATTCCCTGACGTCTCCCCGTTCGGTGGCGCTCAGAGCTTTGTGGCTGTCCCTGCTGTCTCTGCAGCGTGGCCTTCCTTAGGAGAGCTCATTGCGTAAAGTAAAGCCCTGTGGTCACAGATAGCAGTTTTGCCCAATGTGGTAAAAGGCTTTTTCTCATCGTGATAAAAGACTCCTGGCTTGCAGAAGCGGAAGCTACGTCACAGCAAAAAATGCTCGACAAAGAGGAAGTCCTGTTTACTTTCTCTGTGAATGCTATTTCACAGACTTTTAATTTCTTCATTCTTTTAATCCAAATGGAAGTTATATTAGTGAATATTGTTTGTTTTGCCCAGAGAACACAAGTGAACACAAGTGTCTTTTACCCCTCAGACCCTGGCAGAGGTCTGAGCTGCAGCACTACAATTAAACTCATGCTCTGTAATTAACAGTCCTCCTTTGGTGGTCATCAGAGCAAATGCAGCAGTGAAGAATCATGACACCTTCTTAAGATATTTTTCAAGGTATTAGGAAATAAGACTAAATAGTTCTGTATAACAGGAGGCCTGAACACCCTTGCTGTTTGTTTGCAAGTATTCAGAGAAAGCAGTGACATTTATAAAACAATTTCCTCATTGCTAGTAACATCACAAAGGTGCCTGCGTCTGGCTGTGATATCTGGCAGATCCAAACACAGGTGCTGGAGATGAGCTCAGACCTACCCTCGAAATGATGCTATCAGGCAGCACAGAAGAAAGAGATTGCTTCCTGCAATGACCCACAGGCAGCTGCCCTGCCTCTCTTACTAGTGAGAACAAAAGTGGCAAATTGTTATAGTAATACATGCCAGAAGTACCCGTCAGACCTGATACGAGCTTGACTTGGTACCAAGCATCAACACCATAGACTATTTTAAGTGGTATTTTTTCTCTCACCTCTTTTCCCTGATTGTAACGTGTGAAAATAGCTTAAACACACACTCAGGCTTGAAATTCATCCCAAAGCTGCCCAGGTTGTGCTGAGTTGCTGTCTGGCTGGTTTGCAAACTCAGAAAGCATAAACCACCTTAGTGTTGCAGTTAATACTTTCAAATCATGACATTAAGCAGTTTAGGAGCCTCCAGAAGTGGAAGGGTTTGAAAAACACATAGGCAGAAAAGCCCAGGCTCTCGAACGCATTGAAAGGAATATCATGGGAAGTGATTGGGATCTGTGTGGTGGGACTGCATCCGTATGGGAATGGAGTATTTCTGAGACATGTAAATCACCAATCTATTCCAGCGCAGCTGCACCTATCCTTCTTGATAGAGCCAATGTGCCTGCCAGACACCTGTGCCCTTCATTGCACTTCAGCCCTAGTAAGATCTCAAACGAGGTTTTTTTCATTCGCATGGGGCCCTCAAACCATGCAAAAGACATCTGGAAAGGTCAGTGTTGGGACTGACACTCCCATTCATGGCAACTGTTAATATATTAAACTTTTAGGGTTTTAGTGGGACTTGGGCTTCTAAATTCTGCTTTTTGTGTATCTAAGCATGAGTGTGCAGCTGTAATAACCTAGTGGCTAGAATGCTCCCGTGGATGTGAAAGATGCTTTTAATTCCTCCATCTGCCTGACTCCAGATGAACACCCTCTTAGGCTACCCCGCCTCTGGATGCAGCTGTCTTCTATACTGATCTATACAAAACTCTGCTTCCAAGGGGCCAGGACAAGGTGACACGAGCCCCAGAGCAGAGGCAGGAAGGCCCAGACAGATGGTGGCTGTTTGTTCCTGATTCCCTTCAGTTGGTCAGCAGCTACAGATGGACTGGAAGCCAAGAGCAGATTTGGAAAACATTCATATAATGCACTACCCATGCACTATCACAATACCACTGAATTAAGTGAAGAAAAATCATAAAAGGTATTTTATGGGAAGTGGGGGGGAAAAAAGTACCCTTCAGCAGCTTTACATCTTCAGGTAGGGATATCCCCTGTTCAGGACTTCCTTAGTATTTTCTTTGAAAAAAGTCTGCTCAGAAAACCTCCTGACTCTTGACTTTGTGTGCCTTGTTCTTGGGTATTTCCCTATCAGCCTCATCAGGTAAAGGCGTCTCAGGCTCAGGCACCGTAGCAGCAGTTTTGTGTGGGCACAACATATGTTTGGCCTGATAAGGTGGGTGGCTGCAAGGAAGTATCAGCTAGAAGTGTGCATGTAAGTGTTGTTCTTGGAAGGTTGTTAGCCTCACTGTAAAACAAAATCACAATCAGAACATCCATCTAGAGAACAACATGACCTCTCTGCGGTAAAGCAGCAGCAGCTGATTTAGGTGAGAGGTAAGGCAAGTTTTCAGAAAAACAAAACAAGATTTAACATTAGGAGAGCTTTGGCATTCTGTCTTGTTGTCAGTGCTTGCAGCCTGCCCTGCTCCTTGAGCAAGCCAAGAGCAGCAGCCCTGATAGTTGCAAGGTGCAGAGGTTTTTCCCTTGCTTAGCCCTAGAGGGAACGTCCCTGCAGTTGAGGGGGGGTTCTCCAGCTGGAGTTGTATCAGCTCATGTTCCTTTGGCAACAGGAATCAGACCTATTCTACTTTGCAATGAAAATGTCATCCGTGGTGGAGGCTGGAGTAGGAAGACCTAATCACTTGAAAGCATTGTAACAGGTCTAGCAGAAGTATGGTTTTGTGGAGGCAGTGGGAGTTGGAGAAGAAAGCCAGAAAGGAGAGGTTATCACACTTAGTTAAGCAAAGAAGCTGATATTCTACCGAAGTCTGCAATCTCTGTTTTTCTTTATCTTTTATCCCTTCCACTCCTACATTTAGATACATGTGCACTCAAAAACCCACCTCAGTTTTAGTCACTATCAAATTGTGGGAAACTCATGGTCTTGCTGAGATGCTATCTGAAGAGTTAGTCACTTGTGCCCTATTAGGTGGCACTTTGGATAAAGTTGTTTTTCTTTAGGGTAAAAGTCCCTCTTCAGCACTTCCAAAATTGCAGTGCTTGGGGCGGAGGGTTTCAAAGTGGCCTTGTAACTTAGGCTGCTCAGGCCACGTTGTTTACGGACAAGGTTTGGGTCCCCTCATTCAGCTTCTAGGAGGGCAGTTGAGGGGTCTGGGTCAAAACAGAAGCTACAGCTGCAGCTTGGAGCAGCGCAGGGAAAAGTGTCACCTCGTGTCCCTGCCGCTTGCTGTTTTGTCACCACCAAGGGCTCCATGACATCGTGTCTTGGCCTGACATTGGGCAGATATAGGAGGAGGAATGAAGTCAGCCAGACTGCTGAACTTACCAATACCACTGGCTCACCTCTCCATGAGGTACTTTCCTTGAATTAAATCGTTCAGCTTCCTGTGTTTTTACTGTAAATTATA